CGAAGAAAAACTGACCAACGGTCTGCTGCTTTTAGAAAATGTCATTTTCACTTCCCTTTTCCAAAATTATGCATCGATTAGTAAAGAAGCATTTTTCAATTGTTTAAAAATGCTTTAATAGAAATGCAGAAATTCGTATCGATTAGTCGCGCCAAAACAGATATCAGTTGTCGATTACACTAACGGAAAAAAGTAATGATCCCTGGGTATGAAAATTTTTAAAAAGTGATTATTTTGTCATGGAATTTTGATTTCTTTTTTCATAATCGAATTCACAATGTTAAGGTACTTCTCATTGAAAAAATTTCCCAAAAATTCCAACCACGTGATTTTCTCAACTCTAAATGGATACCCCTATTTCTAGGGTGTACTAGAGCATTGATGGGAACCAATAGTAAAAACATAGGTAAAAATTTGAAAAAATTCCAGTGAATACATTCATTGATATTAAGTATAAAAACCAAAAGACCGAGCAGGTTAACTACATACAACATATAAATCTCAACTAGTCAACGGTTTAGAGTTGTATGAAAAATATATCATCTGCATTATGTAACTCCCCCTATTGTTTTTCGGTTTTTAAAACTTAAATCTCGGCTCGTAGGAATTGATCAGATTGTGTGGTACCATTAGATTCAGCGTTCAAATATTAATTTTTTGCTTGTTTTTTATATTTATATTTAATGCTCAATTTGAATTTTATTTACAATTTTATTTATTATCCATATTAATTTTATTTTAATTATTTTATTTCAGCCTCAATTAAAAAACAATTTATTGATTTAAATACAATTTATTTCAAACATTTCTGGTATTATCGCATTATCTACCCGCAAATTCAGCAAACGTTGTCCGCAATATTTCCTTTCCTTAGTTGTAAATGCTACTCGCATTTCTTCCTTAATCAATTTCACTCTATTTCCCTATGGCATATTCAATAAAGAATAGTCTTCCGGTATCGGTACCGAATCTATTTAATGGGCATAAGATTTGTTAATCTAGTCTCTTAGATATACTTAAATAATTGAAATAAAAAAGTTATATAATTTTAGCACTACAAAAGGATAGGAACAAGTATTGAAACTAAAAAAAAATTTTTTTGTAAACTAAAAAAGGAGATTTTTTGTAAAACATAGAAAGCGCACTTTTCCCTTATTTTCCTTGGGACCAGTAAACTCGACATTTACCAACATGGTAAGTTTTAGGACTAGTCCTTATCCTTTTGTCATGCGGAAATTAGCACAACGTTTATTTTCAGCTTGAACTAGATATTAAATGATATTAATATAGCAAAGTTTATGCTCATTAAATAGAGAACTAAATTGAGTTTTTAAAAAACGAGAAATTTTTCTTAAATGATTTTTAACTGAGAATATATGTAAATTTTAATTTACTTACTCATGTCCCTATCTTTTTGTAGATGACATTATGAAACAAATTAAAATATTTTAAATATTTTCTAGAACTTATAATGTCCAATACTCAACAATATTTTGAATATAACGGAGTTTTTACACAAGTGATTGATGTATTAACTGAAGATTTAGATGAAAGTCCATATGTAAGTTAATAAAATTTATTTAAATTATTATGTAAGTTAATAAATTTTAATAAAATTTTAATAAAATTATTTAAGATTAAGTGAAAACTATAACTTTGTTTAAACTAACTTTTTTAAAATAACATATTTCTGAAACTTCCATTACTTCCATTTAAATTTTATTAATTGGACTTAACTAAAAGAAAAACATAATATAAAAAATAAGTTTATTAACTTTAGGTAATTTGATAAAAAAGGGGTTCTATTTTTGGTTGTGCTCTTTTTAAAAGTGGGGCTCTATTTCTGGGGTGCTTTTTTTCGAAAATACGGTATTATTCTTTTATAGAATTAACAGGATTAACAAATTTGCAAAACAATTGTTATGTTAACGCAGTTTTACAAAGTTTGCTGAATACACCTTTTTTCACAATATTACCAAACGTCAGGAATTCGTCAAAAAATCAATAGAAATAATCTGAAGGGAACACAAAACCGATTTACTGCCGCATTTGCTGCATTATCCAACATTTATGGAAGCAATAAATATCAAAATTTGAATATGAATGAATTTATGGTAATGAATTAATTTTTAAAAATTATAATTTATTTTATTATTAGAATACGTTTTTATTAAAATTTAAAAATTTTTCGAATAAAATACAAAAATTGCGTTTTGTTAAACTTTTATTTGCCGATTTGTAGATTTTTGCTAAAAATTATAATAAAACGTAAAAGATGGTTAAAATAAATAATTTAAAAATGTAATGTAAAATTAAAATTTATTTTAGAAAATTTTAAAAGAATATGTTCATGAGAGGTATGATGGGATGACATGCGATGACGCATACAAATTTCAAAATGATTTTCTTGAAAAATTATCCCTGGATATAAATAGAGTATGATTTTTTAAATTTACTTTTCTAAAAATATAGTTAAAATTAAAAAAATACTTTATTATAATTTAAGGTTACTTATCCATCTACAATTAAAACAATTTATACCAATTTTACAACAATAAAACAATGTGCAGATTCTTATATTAATCAACATAATTTATTTTCCTCTTCAATTATCGACGAACTTTTCGACCAATTCCTACCTGTTCAATTATATCAAAATAATGAGATGAATTTAGACTGTTGTGAATAAAAGCTCCAGTGTATAAGAATAAGCTTTGATTATAGTAAAGCAATTTATTTCTATAATAATATCGATTGATATAGCAAATTATGAAATAATTAAATAAAGAAAGATTTCCTTTCAATTTTTGTAAAATAATCATTTGTTATTGTAATGATATAATGATGATTTTTTGTTTTTTCTTTTTTTTTAAATTATGATTTCTATATACATATTTATGCTTTTTAATTTGTTTTTATTTTAAAATCAATTTTTAGAAATATTTAAAAAATATGACAATTTCAAAATTTAAATCTCGAGATTCTGACAGGGAAAGAGACGAAGGGCAATCACATTTATCAAAAAAATATGAAAAGAGAAGAGATAGAAGCTCTAAAACAAGTATTGTTTTAGATCACTACTGGAAAGAAATGAAAATGTTGCTGAAGTAGATTGTTTAGCATTGGCTGTTTAGCCTTACAAATTTTCAAAATTTTCGCCCGCGGCGCTGCAACAGGAAGTTTTTGGCTTAAGGATCTTCCAAATTTTCAAAATTTTCGCTTGCGGCGCGGATGAAAACGATTTTGGCTTCGGCGCATTAAGTTTGATAGATTAATATGATGGAATTAGAATTGATTAAGGGGGTATTATAATTTTTCAGAGATTTGTAGGGTCCCCCCTAAATATCTGATATCCCAACTTCTACCCGACCCGACTTTTTTCTGAACCCGGCCCATCCCTGGTTTAAATATTATTTATTGTATTTTTAAAAATTTCGATTTTCGAATGTCGATTTTCGACGTCTTTTTCTACCGATTTTCGATTTCCGAATTTCGAAGATTTTTTTATTTCGAAGCAGCTCTGATCAGGGGATCTTCCAAGAACCGATAATCCTATCAACTAATGTTGTTCCAGTTTTAATACATATAACGCGGTTCCGGGGTTTTGTCAGTTCTAGATTATTGAACGAGTCCAAAATTTTGACTATTTTGCGGACTTATTTTTAGTATTGTGTCCGTCTTGTCAAAAAGGCTTGTTCCAATATTTAAATCTCCCGTAAATCCCATTCCTTTCCATCTTTCCTTTCAACATCGGTTAGACACGATTCAGCGTCAACACGTTTCAGCGCCAGTTATTAAAAATTAGTGCCCGGCGCCGGACCGTATTCGGTCGGATTTTTCCCGGATTAATCCGGTCCGGAAAAAATCCGGAAATCGAAAAAAACCCGGATTTGGGACCCGAACTAAGGAAAAATCCTAATTTTTAATAACAGGCGCTGAATCGTGTGCGGTGAATCGTACCCCACCGTTTAACATCACTCATACTATTTCTTGGGACACGCCCAAATAGGCGCGCGGCCATAAAGGCGCAAAGCTATAACTTTCTGCAAATTTAAAGCCCTTATCAATTTTGGTACCAATCTCTTTAGCTCGACGAGTGGAATCGTTTAATACTAAAATTGGAACTTATATGGTTTAGGTGCGCTTTTTTTAGCCACGCCCTTTTTTCCTTTTCCTTCATCAATCAACATTGATATGGACAGAATGGTCAACCTTTCTTTCTTCCTCAATTTCACTCAACTTTTCCTGTGGCATTTTCAGTGAGAGACATTAACAAGGAAAAGATTAATTTTCTTTTCCAATTTCACCAAAATAGAATTAACATTTGAATCAATATTCTTAATTTTATCTATTTCTATTATTTAAATGGCATAAGTATCCCGGGTCTACGTTTTGGAACTAATGGTCCGGTATTTCATTGTGTTTTTCAGTTTTTGCGTGTTTGAAATCATATTTTTTTACAAAATGCTGACCGTTTTTACCCCTTTTAGAAATTTTTGGACCCGTGTAATTCAGCTCAGTGATCTCACGGACCTATTTTAGTGCCATTCGTCTCAGCCCAGCTCGATGATGTCATCCGAGTCAGCTCTATGTCATCCGAGTCAGCTCTATATTTTAAGCAAAAATTGACCTGGTTGAGAGGGAAAATAAGTAAAAGAATAATGACGGAAAAAGAAAAAAAGGGCGTCAGGAAAAGTTGAGTGAAATTGAGGGAGAAAGAAAGGTTGACCATTCTGTCAATATCAATGTTGATTGATGCAGGAAAAGGAAAAAAGGGCGTGGCTAAAAAAAGCGCACCTAAACCATATAAGTTCCCTAAAATTGGTAAAATTTGGAAATCTTGAAGCAAGTTATGGCTTTGCGCCGTTATGGCCGCGCGCCTACTTGGGCTCTACCCCTATTTCTTTAAACTTTTTTTAAATTTAATATAGAATGGACATAGCCTCAACTACTAATACCCAAAGCAAAAATTTGTAGATGAAGATCCTTTGGACGCTTACATGGCAGAAATTTCACAAAAAGCTGAAGCAGAGGTTTTCTTATTAATTTCTGGTATTTTCTAATTTTTTTCTCTTCTAGAACAAGAAAGCTCGTGTTGTTGTGATTGGAGCTGTTTCTAAAAGTGCTATAAATAAGGGAGATATTGTCGAATCTGAAGATGAAAAGGAACAAGCACAAGAGGAATTTGATGTTGAACAAACTGCTTCAAGTTTATTGGTAAAAGGAAGAATGTTGGCACAAACGGATCACACAAAAGTGTATTATAGGCCATTTCGGAAGGAGGTTTTAATTTTATTTTTTCAAAGTTTTTTGTCCCTTTTGGTTGACGAAAGAATTTTTAAGCATTTCTATTTTTAATTATTCCCTGGAAAAAATTAGAATTTAATTCTCACTATAAAAATAAAGTTTTATCCGGAGCGGGTTCGAACCCATAACCTCAATCTCCATAAAAATAAAGATTTCCCACTTAATATTAGCCAAATTACCAGTAATAGAGCAGTTGTCTTGGTAACAAATTTTGTGAGGTTATTTTTTTAAATTGAGGTTTTATCCGGAGCGTGTGCCCTAACACTCAAAAAATGTTTTTCCAATTTTTCAGTTACAATTATCAAAAACCTACACCTATCCAATCAAGCAATTTCTTTAATAATGAGTGGAAGAGATGTTATTGGAATTGCAAAAACTGGAAGTGGAAAAACTTTGGATTTCTTGTTCAAATGTTTAGACATATTTTGGATCAACCACCATTAGAAGATATGGGCGGAACTATCGGTTTTTTTAAATTCTTTTAATTAAATAAAAATTTTTTCTTTTGAAGCTTTATTCATGTCCCCAACAGGAGAACTTGCTTTACAAACATGGAAAGAAGCAAATAAATAATGCTGGAAGGATGATTGATATGCTTGCGGCTAATAATGGTTTCTTTAAATTTTTTAGTGCAATTTTTTAAATTACATCCCCCTAAATCAATTAAACTTTATAAAATTAAATTTTTACCCTGAGCGGGTTCGAGCCTGCGACCTTTTCCTTCAAGAACCCAAAGCTTTCCCACTTAACCAAACTACACGATTTTTTAAAAATAATTCTGTAACGACTGGGAGCTCAGGTTCATTGATTTTGACCATTTTGATCATTATAATTTCTCAAAAATAAATTTTCTAGGTAATGTACGTAATATGTGTACGTCCTGATAGACAAACAGTTCTTTTCTCAGCTACTTTTCCTAAAACAATGGAAGCTTTGGCAAGGATGGTTTTGGAAAGACCTGTGGAAACTGTTGTAAGTATATAATCAAACCTCGTTATAAGATACACCAAATATGTATTAGACACTAAGGTAGGCGGATCCGGATCCGAAAAAATGATGTCTGAACTTTTCGGTTCGGATACCGGATCCGGATATCCGAAGATTTCCAACTATCCGCCAACCTTATTAGACACACCTCTCTATTTAAGAGTAGCTTTTTTTTGAGTTTTATTGGCATCTGAATTGGTGGGGGTGCTCCTTAAGAGATAATATTCTATTTGGGCTACGCCTCATTATAAGGACAATTTTCGGACCCAAGGATACATTTACTATTGAAGTTCGACTGTTTTCAATTTCTTATTAATTTATTTTCAAATTTTTAAAGGTTGGTGGTAGTGTTGTTTGTAAATATGTTGTAAAACAAGAAAAGGCTGATGATTGTTTCACAATTAATGATTGCTGGTTATAATTGTGCTCCACTTCATGAAGGAATAGAGCAGGATGATAGAGATTTTACTTTTTTTCATTTAAAAACTAGAGGATTAATATTATACTTAAATTACACTATAGTTCGGGGACCCCCTGGGGGAGGGGGGGGGGTTAGGGGATCCCCTGGGACTAAAAAAGTGGTTATCTTATAATTGGGGTGTTTTAGATGGGGGGTGTGGCTTTGGAAACTTTTCAACTAAAATTTAAAAAAATATTTTTACCCGAAAGGGTTCGAACCCATGACTCCCGTAAAAATATGTAAACCACTTAACAAAAAATTCAACAAATCGGAGGGTATTTATTACTGGGGTCTTTTAATATGTATCTTACAAAGGAGAGGCTTTTGGGTGTCCGTGGGACTTCGGGATGAAATTTGGTAGAGAGGTAGAGTATACCCTTTCTATTTTAAATCTTGAACCATTTTAGCAAAATGGTACCAGGGACCGAGTTATAGACCCCCAAAGTTTTAGGGTCCACTGCATATAAACAATTTCTATTTGGTTACAAATGTGTTCAGCGTTGGTGCAGTGGTACCGTTCTTGCATTTCACTTTTTCCCCCAGGTTCGAATCCTGATTGGAAAAATTAAATTATTTTTACACAATTTTAGTCTTTTATTAATTTTGTGATTTTTATCAGAATGTTTTTAGCCAAAAAATTTTTTAAAGACTTTTTTAAATATTTATTTTTATGGTGTTCCAGAAAAAACCATGTGGTTATTTCTTTCTTTGAAAAGTATTTTTAAAAAAATTTTAAGAAAATTTCAAAAAAATTAGAAAATTTTTTAAAAATTTTAAAAATAAAATTTTCAAAAACAAAATCGAAAATTATGTTAAAATAAATTGATTTCCCAAATCGAGATTCGAACTTGGGGGAAAAAAGTAAATTCAAGAACGCTACCACTGCACCATCGAAGAACACATTTGTTTATAAAAAGAAATTGTTTATGTATAGAAAAGAAAACATTGGGGTATCCTAAAACTTCGGGGGTCTATAACTCGGTCCCTGGTACCATTTTGCTAAAATGGTTCAAGATTTAAATTAGAAAGGGTATACTCTACCTCTCTACCAAATTTCATCCCGAAGTCCCACGGACACCCAAAAGCCTCTCCTTTGTTAGGTTTATTTGGCTGTAGTGTACTTTTGGTAAAATTTAGGTACGTGACATACGCCATTCTATTATTCTCGACGAGCTGAGTCAACGGTACCACTCACTACTTTAGGAAATGAATTTTATAGGTCCCGAAATATTGAAAATTTGGGGAGTTTGTTCGATTTTGGGGTGAAAAATTAGAATGGCAAACAATACATAACTCGTTCAAAAGAGCTCCACGAGCTGACTTGATTTGATAAGTTTATGCTTATTTGTGCCTCGCCGACGCCCATAAGTTTGTGCCTCGTCAACGCCCTATTGAATGCCCGTTTTTTTCTTATTGCTTCAGAATTTACCTAATTAATTCTTAAACTTCATCATCACTAGAATTACTATTACCAGAATAGTTTACTTCCATTAAAATTTTATTAATTGGGCATAAATAAAGGAAAAACAGTATAATATAAAAAATATCAGTTTATTAATCTTAGGTAAATAAATAAAAATAGGGTTTCTAATTTTTGGTGGGCTCTTTTTAACAGGGGCACTATTTCTGGGGTGGGGGCTTTATTTCGAAAATACGGTATTGTCTTTCTAACAGAAGCATGCGGATTAACGAACTTAAAATTTAATTGTTATATCAATGCGATCATGCAGAGTCTAATGAATACACATATTTTTATTCAATATTATCAAACATAAGCAATTTTACAAAATATTAATAAAAACAACTTGAAGGGAACGCAAGGAAAAATTACTGCCGCATTTGCTGCATTATCAAACATTTATGGAAGTAATAAGTATGAATTTCTGAAGATGAATGAATTTTTGGTAATGAATTAATTTGTAAATATTTTAGAAATTAATTCATTACCAAAAAATCATTCATCTTCAGAAATTCATATTTATTACTTCCATAAATGTTTGACTTTTTCAAAATTAATAACATTATCTAAATCTATCTTTTCAACAATTTCATCATCGAATTGAAACCACGCATAATCTTTTCCATATTTTTGAATTTTTTTGGTTTTTGAAATTAGATGTCCACTATCTGGAGTTCCCATGTGTATCTTTAAAAACACAAAATATTTTTATATTTTTAATTTTATTATTCTTATTAAAATAGAATGAGGGTAATACCAATTCTGGATTCCAATTTTTTCTTACTTAAGAATGATATAAAGTTCAATCCATTTCGTTATATTTCCGTGTTCTTATTCTTAAGTAAAAAATAGGGGAGGAGCCAGCCTTTTTATTGCCAAAGTGAGTTTTATTTACACTAAAGATATTATTATCAACTTACAACTATCGAATATAATTCATAAGCATTATTTTTTAAAAAGCATCAGGATGACTAAAACTTTGAATATCCAAGTTGTGTGGAAATCTAACTGTTCTTTTATCATATTGTTTTTCTTTATCAATCTAACTTTAAAAAATTGAAAGTTTTAATTTAACTATTTTAGAATACCTAACTCGATCCAACAGTAAAATTAAAATTTTTTATTATTCCAATAAAACATATTTTTAGATAAATAATTCGAACAATTTTGGCATTTATATTCACAATCAACAGTTCTAATGAACATTTTGTTTAAACTACAAAAAATGTTAAATTTTTATTGTATATTTAATATAACCAATTCTTAATTGGTTATATTTATTTATTTTTAATAGAAAGTCCTGCCTGTTAAACTATATAAAACTGATGAAGAGCTGGAATTGACCGAATGTTTAAACAAAATGTTCATTAGAACTGTTGATTGTGAATATAAATGCCAAAATTGTTCGAATTATTTATCTAAAAATATGTTTTATTGGAATAATAAAAAATTTTAATTTTACTGTTGGATCGAGTTAGGTATTCTAAAATAGTTAAATTAAAACTTTCAATTTTTTAAAGTGAGATTGATAAAGAAAAACAATATGATAAAAGAACAGTTAGATTTCCACACAACTTGGATATTCAAAGTTTTAGTCATCCTGATGCTTTTTAAAAAATAATGCTTATGAATTATATTCGATAGTTGTAAGTTGATAATAATATCTTTAGTGTAAATAAAACTCACTTTGGCAATAAAAAGGCTGGCTCCTCCCCTATTTTTTACTTAAGAATAAGAACACGGAAATATAACGAAATGGATTGAACTTTATATCATTCTTAAGTAAGAAAAAATTGGAATCCAGAATTGGTATTACCCTCATTCTATTTTAATAAGAATAATAAAATTAAAAATATAAAAATATTTTGTGTTTTTAAAGATACATATGGGAACTCCAGATAGTGGACATCTAATTTCAAAAACCAAAAAAATTCAAAAATATGGAAAAGATTATGCGTGGTTTCAATTCGATGATGAAATTGTTGAAAAGATAGATTTAGATAATGTTATTAATTTTGAAAAAGTCAAACATTTATGGAAGTAATAAATATGAATTTCTGAAGATGAATGATTTTTTGGTAATGAATTAATTTCTAAAATATTTACAAATTAATTCATTACCAAAAATTCATTCATCTTCAGAAATTCATACTTATTACTTCCATAAATGTTTGATAATGCAGCAAATGCGGCAGTAATTTTTCCTTGCGTTCCCTTCAAGTTGTTTTTATTAATATTTTGTAAAATTGCTTATGTTTGATAATATTGAATAAAAATATGTGTATTCATTAGACTCTGCATGATCGCATTGATATAACAATTAAATTTTAAGTTCGTTAATCCGCATGCTTCTGTTAGAAAGACAATACCGTATTTTCGAAATAAAGCCCCCACCCCAGAAATAGTGCCCCTGTTAAAAAGAGCCCACCAAAAATTAGAAACCCTATTTTTATTTATTTACCTAAGATTAATAAACTGATATTTTTTATATTATACTGTTTTTCCTTTATTTATGCCCAATTAATAAAATTTTAATGGAAGTAAACTATTCTGGTAATAGTAATTCTAGTGATGATGAAGTTTAAGAATTAATTAGGTAAATTCTGAAGCAATAAGAAAAAAACGGGCATTCAATAGGGCGTTGACGAGGCACAAACTTATGGGCGTCGGCGAGGCACAAATAAGCATAAACTTATCAAATCAAGTCAGCTCGTGGAGCTCTTTTGAACGAGTTATGTATTGTTTGCCATTCTAATTTTTCACCCCAAAATCGAACAAACTCCCCAAATTTTCAATATTTCGGGACCTATAAAATTCATTTCCTAAAGTAGTGAGTGGTACCGTTGACTCAGCTCGTCGAGAATAATAGAATGGCGTATGTCACGTACCTAAATTTTACCAAAAGTACACTACAGCCAAATAAACCTAACAAAGGAGAGGCTTTTGGGTGTCCGTGGGACTTCGGGATGAAATTTGGTAGAGAGGTAGAGTATACCCTTTCTAATTTAAATCTTGAACCATTTTAGCAAAATGGTACCAGGGACCGAGTTATAGACCCCCGAAGTTTTAGGATACCCCAATGTTTTCTTTTCTATACATAAACAATTTCTTTTTATAAACAAATGTGTTCTTCGATGGTGCAGTGGTGCAAAAAATTAATTATGCAAAAAATTAAAAAATATTTCTACCTCGATTTATAATTATTCTGCCGGATAATATTCTAAGATATTTAAAATAAATATCAAATAAGGTATGTGGGGTGTGCAGAAACAGATTTTAAAAAGCGAAACTTGAAAGTGAAAGGCGAAAGTGCAAAAAAGGGGAAAATATGGCGATCGGTTTAATTACAGCATGATAAATACATAAATTCGAAGCTTTAATCAATTTTCAACATCATTGATATGCTTAATCACGTAATCTGGGAGATCAGAAAATTTAGGGGGATTGAGGAGGATATCGGAAAAGGAAGGAAAATTAAGGAAAAATTATACATTATTATTTTCCGATCTCTTGAAATTACATTTATTGGTTGTAAGTATGGTTGGTAAATCTTGGGAAATGTCAGTTAGCCAGATCTGCTATCCAAATCATAAATTTCAGATCCGGATCAGGGAGGATGCAATCGGAAAAAATTTTCAGCAGCCGCTACCCGTAATTATAATTTTAAAATCAAGCAAACGCAACCGCTTTTTGAGATATAAGGGTAATCTGGGGGATATCTCTAAGTCACCCGATATCTCTCCAAATCTCAAAATCCCAAAATCAACGGAAAACAGAGTATAAGCAACTAAGGCAAAAATTTTAAGAATTTTGGAAAGTCAACAGAATAGAATTCATCTATTTAAAAAATATTATTAACTTTTCTACTAATAAAAAATGTGTCGAATCTAATATTAACTTGATTTGGAACAGTCTTCCATAATTCACGCTAAAAGCTATGACGCACATCCTTACAAAGGTTTACTCTAAGTAACCCACGTATATCAAGTTTGGATTAATTTTGCTTGGTTAATTTTGGTATGCCTCTCCAGAAAAAGAATATGTTAATTAGATTAGCTGGAATTCATTTTCAATTTGATAGTAATTCAATTTTCATATGACTTACCGGAAATGAAAAAATTAACTAAAATAGCTGAAATTTAATTTTTGATTTAATTAATTTTACACGTGAAGATGAGTTTATACGTGGAAATCGTTTAAATTCTCACTACAATTACATAAATTTTTTTAATTAAAAATCACAATGAATAAAATTTTTTAATATAAATTTATGAGATTCTCAAACAAAATTAAACATTATAAAATGGGGAAGAAGCACTCGTTTGTAATTCAATTTGGGAAATTTTATAGCGAACTTTGGAAAGCCAAGAACGCATTTGGGCATTTTCCAAAGGCACCTAAAGATTAGAAAAAAATTTTTTCGAAGAAGAAACATGCCTGAGCCTCAACAGATTCAAATTTAAGTCTCAACTTTCGCGGAACGTGTGCATGGTGTACCGTTAAAACGGGCTCCCACATTGGATAAAGTTGACAGAGTACAGCAGAATTAAATTGTTGTAGGGCTTGAAGGGTGTTTACAAAGTGGAGATTGACCATATCAGCCAACTTAAAATAATTAATGTTAATAATTTGATCAAAAGATACTTCTACTAGGGAAAGGAAGATTCATTGTAGACCCTTTACTTTTTTGTTTTTCGATAATATTTGATAACCAGACTGATCTGACAACCTATTTTTCCATCAATTATTCACTCTAAGTAGTAGGAGAGAAGTAAGAGTTAATCCCATTCATTCGTAGAGTTCAGCGTTATTTCGAACCCCGATCCGATTTTTTTTGATCCCGAGACAGAAAGATGAATCCCGATCCCGATTCTGGTCAATCCCAAATCACCATTCCAAAATCCCGGGTTTTCTCCTAAATCCCGATCCCGAATGGAGCCAAAATCCCGACTCCATTCATCCCTATTGTACATTTCTCTACTGATAAGCTATGTGTTTATGCCCCCTACTAGCTATGTGCCTATGCCCCCTCAAAATCCCTACTAGATCCCGAACGTTCATAAGGAAAGCCATTCATATCAAGAGAGTTAAAGACTCGAAAAATCTATTCATTACCACTTTAGAATGGGACAGTAATTGTAAGATGGCGGGAGTAACACGAGCCCAGAAGTCTAAAAGTTGCTGCATGGTTTTAGCTACCATTTCTTCTGAACGACTCGAAGTAGCTGTTTGTTCGCAATAAATAGTCCATAACTGGCACAAATGGAAGGCATGAAAGAGGGCAGACATATGAACAACTGATTGCTGGAAAATTTAAAATTTAGGTTAGGGGAAGTCGTCGTTATAATGAGTGTCTTAAAAATAATATATAAATATTCATCTATTGAACAGCTAAGTAGTTCAGTCAGTGCTACTCGTGGATAAGGTTGAAGAACCGATGACCTTCCAAAAAATTTGCCATAGGCGCTGAAAATAGCGAAATTTCAGCGTAGTATCATTCCTAATTCGTCGAGACGAAATTTCGAGATACTACCGACCCCTAGAAATTTTTCTGGTAGGTTTTGGATATCCGAAAATTTCAGGAACCGAGAATCTACTCATGACATTTTACAAATGTACATATTGCGTTTTTAATATTTATTTTTGAATAAAAGAGGGATTGGAATAAAAAACGTGTTATCATTGAATGAGAGAAACTACAGTAATCTAAGTGATCAAGTCTAATAATGGTGAGAAAGGCTTTGTTTCAGTCCAAAATTGTTATCTAGAGAATTTGTAATGAATTCAGAAATTCGGGAAAAATTCTCAAATTCAGAAAAACCCCTAATCTACTAACAAATATTTTTATAAAAACACCTTTGACTGATCAGCAAACCCTGCTAACACAAAATTTATATAATCAGCCATTTGACTAGAACAAGCAATAGGTACAGGCAAACAAATGTTTTGGTTAATATTTGTTTGTTGTTGTTGTTGAAATTGTTGGAAATTCGAAGAAAATCCATTTACTCCTCTAGCATGTAGAGAACCAAGTAAAATCCAAGCTAGAACGCGAACGTTTGCTACAGATTCAGAAAATTGGCCTGGAAGAGCTTGGGCAAGTGAGGGAGGGGAATAAAGCCAAGGAATGAAGCGCATAACCTTGAGATTATAGAGAAAAAATTCTTGAAAAAAAAATTAATTTTGCTCTTACAGTTCGAGAATCCCGAACAGATGGTCGACTCATTTCAAGTGCTACAACCTCGGCTAAACCAGCTTTTAAATCTCCTCCAACTCGGTCACTGTTGCTAGCGGATTGCTTCTAAAATTATTGTTATGTATATTAAATCTTAGCTATGCTTCTGACTTTATAGGTAATTTTAAAGTTTAGAAAGCTTAGTAAAAAGCGCTGGAATCGAACCTCCAATAACGGACAGGAAGAGGTCCTTTGTGATTTTGAAGGGAATATTCATAAGTAAGGTGAAGAGGGACGGTATAGTAGGATAGGATAAAGAGGACATTCAAAGGTAGGGTGAAGGTGACATTGGGAGCATTCAAAGATAGGATGATGGTGACATTGGGGACATTTAAAGGTAAGGTGAAGGTGGCATTGGGGGCATTCAAAGATATGATGAGGGTGGTAGTCAATAGAAGGCTATTAAGTGGGGTGGCGTAGGGTGAAAGGAACATTATAAGGTGAAGGTCCTAAATTAACTAAATTCCTAATAAATCTCTTTCTACCTTCAATTTAGCCAATACATGCATATCCGAGATAAATTCTAATAATTCGGGTACATGTGGCCTAATAGCTTCTGCTGCTCCAGTATTAAATTGGTCTGTCTGTTGTTGCTGGGAATTATTTTTCCAATAGGAAAATGAAGAAAATTTTCTATTATTTTGGTTTTCATTTACTTCCTCGTTTTCACCGCTAGAATTTGGTGTATTAATCCAGTCATCGCCTAAAGGCTCTCCAAAGTCTTGCAAAACCATTCTGACAATAGTCAAGTAATTTTCTCCTGCCAATTCACATTTAAATTTTAAAGCTGAGAGAAGTTCAGCAACAACCGAGCGTGTTAAAATTTGTTTATCTCGTTCGCGGATCATGCCCTGAGGGTAAGAAAAAAATATTTGGCTGGGTGAAGCTAGATTAATAAACTTGGAAGAAACGAGGATTCTGGTTAATCTCGAATCTAATATTAGCTTAATCTGGGTTGGACGGTATCTCTCCCACTCTCGTCGGTATCCCTCCCCACTCTCGAGATCCCTCCCACTCTCGTAATGGGGAGAAATGGATGCGAACCCTAAATTGGTATCTGGATTTGAGAATTGTGGTAGCTATTCAGGAGTTGCCAAGGGGCGTATCCAAATAGGACTGGAGACCCAGTGGATCCCTCCCACCCTCGAACTGGGAGGAAAAGGAATCTCCAGATTAAATAAAACTTTGTTTACCCGATTGCAGGCAGTGCATACAGCCAATCTAAAATTTGAATTAGCTAAAATATTTTTTAAAAAATCAACTAACAAATCATACAGCTCTACGGGACATTTATGGAGCATTTCTACGAGCCACTTAGCAAAGGCTTCGATTGCCTGTACTGCACCTTTAATTGTTGCGAGGCCTTGTACACGAAGAACTCGACTCATAATTAATACTATAAATATTCTGATCATTTTTCTGATTTTTTCAGAATTCTTCTGATTTTTTGGAATTTGTCAGAATTTTTTTCAGAATTTTTCTGATTTTTTCTGATTTTTTTCGTCAATTTTTCTAATTTTTTAAAGAATTTTTTTTCAGAATTTTTCTGATTTTTTGGAATTTTTTCAGAATTCTTTTCAGAATTTTTCTGATTTTTTGGAATTTTTTCAGAATTCTTTTCAGAATTTTTCAGAATTTTTCTGATTTTTTTGGAATTTTTTCAGAATTTATTTTCAGAATTCTTCTGATTTTTTTAGAATTTTTTTCAGAATTTTTCTGATTTTTTCAGAATTTTCTGATTTTTTTCTCAGAATTCTTCTGATTTTTTCAGAATATTTTCAAAATTTTTCTGGTTTTTCAGAATTTTATTGAGTCAATGAATTAATCTAAACTAGCCTGAACTAGCCAGTTCGGACCTGAACTGCTTCTGTTGATTATTAATTAATTGGTTTTGGACAGACTGTGCTGCATTTGAAACTGCAGCTAAATTAGAAGTAGCTTCACTTATAAGCTGAAAAAATTTTTTTCACGTTTCCTAAAAATTTTTCCAGACTTGTGTGTGCATTCGCCTATAAAGACCGTCAATTAAAGCCACTACCGCTGCCCAATTAGAGAGTGCTTCAGTAGGAACATATTGAATATAAGTTGCTAAATTGTGCAGAATTCTGGTTACTTTAATTGGCCAACCATCAGCTATATCCTTCAAAAATTTTTCAAATTTATTTTCGCTTAAAATTAGGGAAATTTGGGCTAAATTAGTTTAAAAACTTTCCAAAAATTCGGAAATATTTATTAATATTTTTGTTGTAAATCACGTAAATGCTCTAATTAAAGCTCTGGGCGTCTATTTTTCAATGGGTCAATTTTGGTGGGCTTGTATTAGATATGGGCTTCTAATAGAGCCGGGCTTTAATTAGAGCATTTAGTATTTTATATAATGTCAGCCGCGGGCACGAGACCCGAATCCTATAACCGGCGCCGCTCCAAAGATGCCTAAATCATGAACAGGGCTGTGCGCCATGGCGTTTGGCATTTTGCGTTTTGGCGTTAATTTTGGCCGATTTTTGGCGTTTTGCGTTTGGCGCGCCACGCGAAAATTTTGGCGCACAGTCCTGATCAGGAAGATCTGAGCGGCATAGGTATAATTAAATTTCATAAGCCATTTCATGCGGCAAATTTTACTACTTATTTCTACATATGTATACTGTAGCTAACTGAGAGAATCACTAAAATATGCCTAGGAGCTTAAAGAAAATTTTAAGAAACTCAATTTCGTGAAGGTGATTAAAAATTTTAATTTCCTCCATATATAAAAAATTGTTCCCCACAAAATTTTACCTCCAACAAATTTTGTAAAAAAGCAACAGGGTTTAATTCGGTAAAATCAACAAGTGATAGAGCTATTTTACTCCAAAAAGAGTATAATTCGTCTGCTTGAATGTGTAAATTAAAAAGTTGTAGAGCTATTCCACTTCCAGATAATTGGTGTAAAATAATACGAATTAATTGCTTAGCAGCACTTTTGGCATTTCCTGGGACGAAAATGTTGGATTCGTGCCATGGAAATTGTGGGATGTCTATAAAACGTGCCGTGCAGAGAAGCTGGAAATTTTTGAATTTGTTAATTTAAAAATTATTTTTATAATTAAAGATATTTCCGGAATCGTTAAAATTATCAAGTGTTTGATCAAGAAGATTTTTATAAGCTAAAAAATTTTTTGAAACTGAAACGATTTCCAAATTTTGATAATTTATTTGGTAGCCATTGGGAGGAGTTGCCACTCCCATATCTTTGATTAGAGGGGAATGAAAAGCCTTGTTCTATGAAACGTGCCGTGCAAAGAAGCTCTAGAGCTTCGCCGGAAGTTCCGGAATTTCCGGCACTACCAGGTTCTTAAAGTTGGAAATAAAAAGATTTTCTTTAAGTTCTAAAGATAAAAAATTTTTCCAAGGCCTATATGCTTTAAATTTGTGAAAACTTTAAGAAAATTTTTTGAAATTTAAAAATTTTTTTTATAAAACTCAACAGTTCTCTGTAGCAACGGAGCAGCTAAACTAGGCACTCTTTGCAGAAACGTACACAAAGCTACACAACAAAGTGAGAGTGTCTCCTCATCGAAAGATTCTAATCTAGCCCCACAATAGGAACAGGTTAGCCTCGTAAAATCAGCTCCACGTTTTGTTGGTTTGTTTGTTTTTTGGTTTTTTCTGACGCTGCTTTGGTGTTTTTGGCTGTGGGGGCGTCTTTTAGAACGTCTGATTCCTGCAGGTGGGTGAAGTGCGATGACAGGCGGGCGGGTATCCAATGTCTAAAAGAAAATATTTAATAAGAAACTTTCATTCTCTAGTAAAATAGTTCAAAAATACGGATATTACTCAAAGAAGGAAGTGGGATCGTTAAATCTATTATAAGAGAGGGTGAAAGTTGTGCCACAGTAGCTCAGTCAGTATAGCACTGTTATAAGGTTCTATTATAAGAGAGTGTAACCTTCTGTTGGTTGGGTATTGAATAGCTACATGGAGCTTAGAAGTTTAAATTGAGCTCAGTTAGCAGCCTTACTAAGAAGTCTGCACCATAAAAAACCACTTCGTACTCCCCAAAGGAGTATAATAAAAATCTACTACTAGAAAATATTTTAAAATGAGGTCCGTATTACCTTCAAGAATCAAAATAACACAAACTTAGCTACCTTAGCAGACTCCGAGCCTTTTGTTTTATTCGATTCTTTACGAGAAATATCGGAAGTACTGCCACCTCCTTGTTCACGCATAGCCATAATTTTAAGAGATTCGGGTCTGTGCTGCATAGAAGTTTTAGTAGAAGATGCACCACTTCCATTGTGTTCTTTTAACGTTTCCACTTCATCTACCGAAGCAAATCTTTTTTCTTTATAGGGTTCGGTTGCGCCATCTACTAGTTTGGTAGACGCGAGGTCGTTATTTAATTCTTCCACACCTAAAAATTTTTTGATAATATCTCTATCGGGTACCGGATTCATTTTAATCTTTTTAGGTTTGTCGATTCGGAACCGAGCCGAAGATTCAGTTTGGTCCTTCGCTCAGTTCGGTTCTTCGGTTCCCTTTTGGTCTTGGCCCCGAATATCAAAAGAGTTTCGAGGGAGCCTAAAGTTTTTATCAAACAAAGATTCTAGCCTGAATCATTTCCAATTTCAGAATCCTCCGTAGACGATGACCACTGCCCATCAGGCCCAGGTGCTTCCAAAAGACACGTAGCCGATCGCCTCTCCTTATTTTCTGGTGCTATAGCTACAGGTGGTTGTTGCTCCTGATTTTGTGAGGAAGGAGGACAACGATGGCATTGCTGCTCCAAAGTCTGTACAACTATAAGCATCTGTTTGCGTATCGCGTCGTTTGTAGGGGCAGCATCGCAACGATACTTTTAAGGGGAAATTTTTGATTAAAAATAGAGTTAGTCCTACTTTGTAAAGTATAATGATTATTGAATGCAACCAATTATGCCTTTGCTGTGTAGAAAGCAACCGAAGAGAATAATCGGCTGAAGGGGCATCGCTAGCAAATTTTTGAGGCGATGGTAAATAGAGGAGTAGTTGGAGAACAATGGAGAGTAACTTTAAAAAATGAATTTTGACGGAATTTTCCGAATAGAAAATTTCTCTTACTTGATTGCCTATCAGCAAATTAGAATCCAATACCCCTGGTAATCCATGCAAAAAAGCGTTGCAGACGGCCGCGCGACGTAGACGTGCAGGGGGTATTGTGAAGCACTTCTCAGAGTTACTATAGCCAAGGAGAGTATTGAAATGACGAAGAAGCACCTGATAAAATTATGATATAATTATACGCAATATGTTCTTCTCGCACTATGGATGTTCCTTACGCACTACTAGATTTCCCTACGACCACAAAATGTCCACGCCTAAAAGCAAGGGTAGATAAAGGAGATTACAGGTATACATTATTACAGGTATAATGTAAGGACCATGGAATGGTGTGTGTTAGCACCTTCATACTATTAGATTCTCTTCACACACATGATGTTCCCTTCACATTACTAGATGTTCCCTTCGCTCTACTTACACTTAGCTTCTTCGCATTATCGGCAGGGCCACATCTCTTGCTAGCCAAAAAATGGACAAACAATGAAACTACGAGTGATACTGTATGTCTAAATAAAGAAATAGACTAGTTTAAGCTGTATTCCAACCTTTCAGGGTTTTGCATATCCACTACCCTATTTAACAACAAACAAAGATTGGACTCTTCGTCAGTAAATTCACGCATTCTACCATAACGGGAATCTAATTAAATCAAAATAAAAAAATTTTAGGAACAAAAGAAACCAGAGCCGATAGCTCTAGGGCTGAGAGATGAAGCAGAGACTGTTGATTGCACTAATGGATGAGCCAGATCCACTAAATAAATTTTAAATTTTTAAATGTTTAGATAATAATTTAATAACGAGAAAAGGGAAAGAGAAGTGAAGTAACCGGAAAAAATTATAAGTTTAAAATAATTCTGGATAGGGCTTTGGAGCTAGCTCCAGTGTCGGCTTAATAGGAGCCTGAGCAAAAATTGTAAAAACAGAATTTTAATCCCAGGCCGGGATCGGGATTTCTGGGCCAGCAGTTCGGAAACAAGGTATTCTGATAAAACCCGAGGTTTCGATGTTTCCATGTCAAAAACACAAGAACAAGAAGCCTAAACCTAAGACTTGTTAAAAAATGTATAATTATGTATTATTGTAGAACCAAATCTTCCGGATACTTTTTAAGATAGGAAGGATGATAGAGAAAGGAATAGAAGAAAGTTAATAATTTTAAAATTTTAGGTACGAAAAGTTAAGTAAAAGCAATTCAAAGAAAATCTAAAAATTAAAAAAAACAATTAAAAGTACACTCCACAAACACAACAAAGTTTAGAAAACACACAAACAAAAAATTAAAAAAATTCAAGCGTACACGCCAACGAAGAAGTCGTAGAACCCGCTCTAGACTGTGGGAGAGTAGGCAACAACAGAGGAGGTGTTGATTGAATTGAACGTCTTGCAACCGTAAAATAACGTTCAGAAAAGCCCAAATCTTCTACTAGGCCTTGATCTGCCAATTCCAACAAATGCTGATGGTGTGGCAATAAAAGTGATTGTTGTTGCTGCTGTTCTTCAGTCACAAATTCCCCTTCATCCTTTCCCCCACTTTGATGGGACATTTTTGAAGACCTTCGGGAAGATGGCAGAAGCAATCTGCCCGCCATTTCACGCCAGGCACTGACTACTCGAATTACTACCAAAACTTTGCGCAGTCTGAGACGAGCCAGATCCCGTGCGGAACGCCCATGGATTTTTTCTGTCGTTCCTGCAACAGCTCCACGGCGAAGGCATACGCGTAAAACTTGTTGTGCGGCATCGCGGCGTTCTGTGATTTTTGTGAGGAAAGAGAGACTTCACTATAGGGTCAAGTTTTAAGCTGGAGTTTTTTTAATTTGGGTGGCCTGCATAGGAGGTAAATATATTCCCGATTTCGAAAATTCCTAGAAAATCTTAATTTACGAATCCGCACTTGGGACGATATATCCTGATTTTCTGGAAACGTTAATTAGTATAGTAGGATCATTGCCGCATCGGTGACCTACCCAAATATCATCCGTATTTAAAATACACCTCATTAAAAATATGAATTTTCAGCCTCAAGGTTATCTTATATAGAGGTCAAACTGTAATAACCTTATAATTAGGAATATGGCACTTATCAGTGATAAGAATTTATTAAGCTTAGTGTGAGTTTGTCATTTTTTGTGTTAGAATCTATTATAAAAATATTAGCAAGTTATATAAAATTATGTTAGCAAAAGGCAAGCTTCAAAAGCAAGCAATCCTGATTAGCAAAACACGGCAAAGATGATAATCAAAAATGATTTGCAATGTATATTAGTTACTAGCAACCCACCTTGGTCACCACGTACACCGGGATTAAGCTGATGACGCAAGGAATGTTCCCGAAGTGAACGAACAATCGAGCGCACGTTGTCTGCCTCGTTGAGCGATTGCCGAGCGCGGGTAACTTTGCGCTGATAAACGTCACTCATTGGATCAGAATGGAGAAGATCTAATAGGAAAGGGGGATAATGTAAAATCTGAAATATTTCATTTGCAAGAGGAATAACAATAAAGATACCACTATATGATGAGATGTTCACTTAAACCCATTAAGAGTTCCCTAATGCCATTATATAAATTTCCTCTCATTTTATGATGAGACCCATTGGTTCTAATAATGTTCCCTGGATTTTTTACAATAATTACCTCAATGTTCCCTTTTTTCTCTTCAACACTATAGTAAAACCCTAACAAATAAGCCCTATGTGAGATGTTCCCTCAAGGTCTGTGTGATGTTCCCTCAATAACCAGGTTTTAGCCATGGTTCACTCTATCTCATGGGCCTGGAAAAGTGTGCCATTCAAGTAATAGTAAATTTGCCACACCAAAGCTCGATATAATATACTCTTAGCTAGTAAAACATAATATAAATTGCATATTATCACCTTGCAAAAAATGCATACTAGCATCAGCTCCAGCATTTTGTTGAGCTTTAAGATGCGCCTCCAATGATAAAGTTTCGAATCTTTGAATAAAAAAGTCCCAAGACAGCAAATTCTCATCTGGGAGAAGCACGCTAAGTAGATAAATACGTGCAATTATAAGAGGGCGATCAAGTATGCACGAATCAAACTGAGCTTCCAAACAATGGCAAATTAGCTTAAATTTGTTTTTATTTTCATTTTTTTTTGATTCCTGTTTTACCGTTAAAGAACTGCGAGGAAGTGCTTCAAGTAAGAGAAGAGCCTTCTGAGCAACAGCAGGGTTTGGGTCGTGCACTGATACTATTAAATGAGAGAATGCGCAACTCAACGACGTTAAGAGTGTTCTGTTTGAGCGAACAGCTGCAGGAGGTACAAAATGGGCAAGTACTAGTACTCGATCCACTACAAAATAAATAAAAAAAATTAATGTTCCCTTCACCCTACTTATAGTGTGTAGGGAACATAAAAATTTCAAGCTAAAGACTAAAAACTACACCAGCTTTTAAGCGTCGTTCCCATTCGGAAGAAGTGAATTCTGCATTCACACTTTCCCAAAAGACGTCATCCCCCAATGGAAGAGTGATGGCGTGTAAAAGGAGAGGAGTTGCCATTTGGCCAACCTTTAAAAATCTCTTTAAAATTTATATTCAAAATCATTTTTCTAACATGTGAGTAGTCAGATCGTAACAAGCTCCAGAGTCGAGGGATCAACAAATTTTCTTGTATCCAAACAAGAAAACCGCGATGCTCTATTGAATTATTTTTGAGGGCATTCAAATTTTTTTAAAGACCTTGTTCCTTTCGTGCGTTCAAGAGACACTCTCTATGCAGAAACAAGTATTTAAGCATACTCAGGAGGAAGAATTGAACGTCTGGATCAGGCTCTCGCTCAATATTCTTTAAATAAATGTTTTAGCCTGAAAACCGAAATGTTCCCTTCACACTACTTATGGGCTGAAAAGAACACTCTAGTAGACCAGATGTTCCCTACAACCTACTTGTTGTCTGAAGAGAACATAGGCTATGGAATTACCTTGAGCAATACGTATGTCAGTCTTAACTGAGCAGGTAGTTGTTCCAAAGAAAAACGGAAACGTCCTACTGAAGTTTCCCAAAATATGCGTTGTTCCTCTTTTTGTTCAGTCTTTCCAATTTTTATTTTACCCTCCCCATCAACCGCTTCAGAAGCATTTTTCTCAGTTAAAGCCGCTTCTTGTTGTTGTAATAATCCACCAATAACTGTAGCACTTATACAGGCTACTCCCATAGGGCTTTGTTCAGCAAATGAAAAAGCTGCAACTTGTTCACTTGCTGAATCAACATCATCGGTGGGTAACGCGCCTACCATTTCGGCACTTGGTGTGCTTACCTTTTAAGTAACTTAAAATTTTTCTAAGGTCATGATTTCTACCTCTTGCCTAGCCTTAATTAAGGGTGTTGAAATTTTCTGAACAGGCTGTTGTTGCTGTCGTTTTTGAGTAATGGGTGATCCAAAGAATGTATGCCCGGCAGGAGAAGAGGATAAAGCTCGAGGAGAGGGCGAGGGCCTAGGAGAGTTACCATCGACAACAACACCTTGGAGTTGTTGTTGATGAACAGAGCTGCTAGCCTCGCTAAGCCAGTCGGCAAAATCACGTGCTGTTTCGTCTCCGTAATTGAGAGCATCGAGGCGTGATTCCTCTTTGGGACAAAATTGTTCGAGAACTTGGAGTAACACCTTTAAAATATTTCTTTTGATTTTAATTTAAGAATGGTCTCTTGGTCTCAGACCTCTTTATCTTCGATCATTTTGAGAGAACCTTTCGGGCAACGGTATGTTGGCGAATTACAATTAGGGAATGAGGGCAATGAATGGCCTAAAACCTGTCGAGGGTCTGCGTTATGAATTTTCATTAAATAGATGTTCCCTTCACTCTATACGTAGGCTGAAAGGAACATTATTAGATTTTTTGGAACTTTTTTGACCAAAAGCTTGAATTAATCCGTATAAGTCTAAGGGGCATACCATAATTTAAAAGTGAGTTTACCTGATACAGAAAAAGAGCCTGTTGACAACGCAGACAGTCTGCGAACTGATCACCCTCCGGATCCCTACAAGTATGTGGCCAACCATTTTCTATAAATCTTTCTTCGGGTTGGTATTCAAGTAGAGCTGCTATTAATGAAAAGAGATGCTCTAATAGAGATGCTGATGTCATTGCACTAGCACCCCCAGCTAGTTTAATTTGCTGGGCAAGTATGTCTGTCATAACTAATTGTGCGGCCATAGGTCCTTCAAGTGTCTGTTGTGAATTCTCAGCATTTTCTGGTTCTTCATCTTCCACAATTTTATTCTCACGACTCTCTGGACTAGCCAAACCAGAGTTTCCTCCATCTACAGGCTTGGATTCATTGTCCCTATGTTGAGGCTGTTTTTGTTGAATCAATAGTTCTCCTGATGTAGGCAATGGGATTTGACGTAAGGAGTTGGAAAACATCTCCAAGAGGAGTTCCAACGATATTCTTATGTCGATCCGTGAAAGTAACTGAAATAATTAATCAATTTAATTATATTTTTGCCACAATACTGAGGGTAACTTAAAAATAGATTTTCGTTTTAGGTAGAGGAGGAGTTAGTTTTCTAGTAATCTTATGGAAAATAGATATATGTAAGAATGATTCACCTAGTACATTTTAGTGATGTTCGGGTATCCCGACTCCCGACACCCGACTCGGGAAATTTCCCGAGTTTTTGGCCTCCCGATCCCGACCCCGACTCCCGATGTCAATTCCCGACTAAGTCGGGAAATTTTTACACCCCTAAGAATGGCTTTTTCTGATAAAATTTTATTTTTAAACTGAAAAAAATAAAAAAAGGGAAAGGGAAAATAAAAAAAGAAAAAGGAAAAGGTGAAAAATATTTAAATTTTTATTCTAAACGTCTTTCGTTGAGCGATGATTGAGTGGTTAGGTTGATGACTTCACGCTCAATGTGATATTTTATGGGGATGGGTTCGAATCCGTGGTTGGGAAATGTGAGTTAAATAATTTTTCTTTTCCAAAAATAAATATTTTTAACATTGATTTTAATTTTTAAATTGTGAATTTATTTTTTTAATACTAGTAAACTTGAGAAAACTGGAAAAATTAATATAGTCATGAATTTTCGAAAATTTTCGCCTGCGGCGCAGACAAATTTTAAAGACCTTGAAAGGTCTTTAAAATTTAATTAGCCAATCTCAGCAATACCCTCCTCTTAAAAAACCCTTCCCTTCCATTATATTCAATGCTCCTTAATCACTTCTAATCGCTCTATATCCTTCCATGGATGCAATATTTTAATACCAGAGACGAGGTAATTTTGGGAATTTAGAATAATTTTGGAATAATTTTGGATAATTTTTTTGTGATAATTTTGGGAATTTAGAATGCTTTTTTTTTGCCAAGCGGCCAAAATGGATGAAATGTGGCTTCTTGACCTCCATGATTATCAAGATTTCTGCCTGCGGCGTTGAAAATTAATTAAGAAATGTTGAAAATTAATTAAGGGAATAGAGAGAGAGAGAGAGAGCGGCGCAAAAATGGAACAATTCTGGCTTTCTAACCTTCAAAAATTCTTAAAATTCACGCCTGCAACGAAAAAATCAGAATTTTTGGCGCCGAAGGCGCCAAAAATTTTTTAAATTTTTTAAATTGAAAATTCCCGACTCCCGATCCCGACTCCCGAGGTCATTTCCCGACCCGACTCCCGTTTCCCGATTCCCGAGTTTTTTCTTCTCCCGAACATCACTAGTACATTTAAAACGACTAGGCGGGGTTATACGATCTAAAAGGATAAAAGAGAAAGGATTAGTCGATGCCCCGATAACTCAGTGGTAGAGCTCCTGCTTGAGGTGAGCGAAAGCGCCCGGCAATAACTACGAGGAGGTCGCAGACTTTTGCTAAACCCTTTCTATAGGTTTTAGATGGTATTTTCCAGAAGTGATTAATTGAATTGAACAGCTTGATTTTCCGGAAGAGAATATAAAATTAGAGGGTACACCCGATTTACTGCGAGCCCAATGTACCACCAGGTTAAAACTTCATTTAAACTTGTCAAGTCATGGATGCCTTCATGGATGCCCCAGGTTCGATGTTCGTCGACTAGCTGTATCGGACAATATCTGGGCCTCACGTATTCAATTATTTTGGACGATGTTATGGCGAGTTCATATATAAAGCGTCCCGTGAATCGTGTCTCTTCATTCTCAATGCTATTTTTGTCGCAAAATGTGAACGCGCCGGTATATACCTAGTTCGGCGGTACATTGGCCTGCTCCCAAGATTACTAGACTTGATATTTCGATAAAATGGATGTCTATGGTTTAATAAAATATTTGAGGAAAGAAACAAAATTGTTGAAGTTAAAAAATTTAAGATTAATGTTTACTCATATGTTTTTTATTATAAAATTAATTACAAATGCTTTATAAAATTTATAAAAAATTTTATAAAATGTACTTTGAAAGAGTTAAATTATGGGTGGAAGGAAGACTGAACTTTTAATAGAAGATAAGTTAGCTGGTTTAATATAGGCTAGACAATAATTAAAAATTTTTAAACTTTAAAAATCAGCTAAATTAATTCCTAAAAATTTTTTGTCTGTGAACGAGACTTAAATTTTTATTGTTGTGAGGTCTATAGAGTTAGACATAATCACTCAAACAATTTCTTAAGTTCTAACCAGCAATAAATTATAAAGTAGAGTAATTCTAGGTTGAGAAATTTGGACAGAAGTCCAGGGTACACGAGGTAATCCAATTCCCGGAAAAGAATATCGAATACGGGACGGCCTGGTATTGTTTGATTCAGGCTGTCGACGAACATCGAACCATAACAAGGCGTATCGGGTTTGACAAGTTAAAATGAAGTCGTGGTCGACTAGACATAGGGTGTGCGGTATATTGGGGGTGTGCCAATAAATCAAAAAATTTCATCTAGTAAAGCTATGGTTATTCAGAAAATAAATTTAAAAATTTTAATTTCCGGAACGGAAGAATTAAATCATTTTTAGAAGAGTTTTTGTTTATTCATATGTAAATTTTGGCTAATTTAAAAAATTATTTTATATTAAGTGTGTACGTGGCAGTTAATTTTTTGAGGTATAAAATTCTAAACCACTGATATAATTAAGCCTATAAATACAAAAAGAAAAGCTCGATATCCAGCCAAAGTTAAAAAATTAAAAAAAATCAGAAATCAATAGAAATAAAAATGCTTAATATATTAATTTTAATTATTTCATTTATATCATCCCTGGCGATAAACCAGGACGGAGCCACATTTTGTAATTTCCCAAAGCCTTCAAGTACAAATTATACAAAGACCGGTTCAGTCATTAGTGGCTACAATGATTTTAAAATGCAAAGGATTATACTGGAAGGGAGTCCAGGAACTTGCAATCCAAAAATTCCGAAGCAATGGAATTCTCTTTTCACAGTTAAGGATGGGGGAACTGTTGCTAATTTAATACTTGGCGTCGCGCCAGACGGCACTTCTGCTGATATCAGTTGCATGGGAAGTTGTACTCTTAAAAATGTTTGGTAAGTGGATTTCGAAGTTGGTTCTTCACTCCACTCAGGGATTCGCATGGGTGGGAAGAAAGTCCGGTGGTGCTCCAAATTCCCGCTCCCCAAAAAGTAGGCTGTATTTTTATCACTCAATTTAAGGTGGGAAAATGCTTGTTGGCGAGCTGCTAGCTTCCGTGCTACAGCGGCATTCAATTCAAGACGTACAAACCAGGAAGGAGATTCAACACAATATACATATGTACATATAAAAATTTTTAAATTATTTGAAAAATCTCTACTTTTAGATCGTAGATGGAGGAGGCGCTCTAGACGGCTTTCAAAAAATTTTCGATCAGAGCGGACCTGGAAAGACTATAGTAAAGAACTTTTGCGCAGCAAATAGCCAGATAATTCTTCGAGCGTGTGGGGATTGCGGAAGACAATACCAACGAGATTTAACGATTGTGGACTCTAAATTCAAGGGACCTGGACTTCTTATTATGGGTAGGACTTCAAAAGAAGACTAATCACATAATCGACCTTTTAAGGGCCTAACCATCAATACAATGACAAAGTAACTCTTCGAAACGTTTCTGTTTATGGCAACAACAATCCAGCAACTAAAATGGCTTTTGCATGTGTAGAGGCAGTGCAAAATGCTGCAAATCCTTGGCAATATGCTTGGATAGCTGGAAAGGCTGGAACTGGTAGTTCTTGTAATTACCCAGCTTCCGCATTTAAAGTGGTCAATTGAAAAATGAGCTGAAAAAACTGAAGAAATTCGTAGAGTTATAAATAAAAGTGCAAATTTAAGGATTAAATAATTAATGTTAAATTTATATTGTATATGTAGATGATAATAAATTAATATTAAATACCTTATCTAATTTATATTTTTCACAAAATATTACGATAAAACAAAAAAAATATTAAATTTTGCTTTATATTACGTAAAAGTGGTAGGAGAATGGTTAAAGTTTAGCCCCATTTAGCCCCGTGTGGTTAAAGTTTAGCCTTGTGTTCCTTAACGAATAGCAGACTTTTTTTACTCTGTTGAAAATTTTTAGATTTTTTTTGTTCTAATATGAAGCGTACCTATTCCAATAACAATTCTGAAAAATTTTCAATGTTTCTGAAACATCATACTGTATTTCCTGTTTTATTTCCTTATATTCCTGAATGCCACCCTCTATTAGAATGCCACCCTTTACTAACGCTGAAATTTTTCAAAATATAATAATATATCAATCTGAAACTGTTTCTATCGACTTTCTCTTATTTCTTACCAGTTTGGATTATTATGTAAACTAAAGTGAGTCAAAATAGCATCCCTTAACGTGATTTTAATGATGTCAAATAGAAGTTAAGAAATTTTCCTTAAAAATTTTTACGAAATAATATCAGAGATACTGGAGCTTGATAGAAATCACAGATATCGTGGATTGAAGAGATTAAGATAATCTCAGAGTGATAGCGTTCGATTCGTAGGGATTGAGAGGATATAAGTGGATTCAGAGTTAAATTCAGAGTTAAAAGAGAATATCGAGGGAAAGAGTGATTATGGAAATATCAGAGATTAGAAGGAATAGAGAGGGATATCGTTAATAAAAAGATAAAATTTGGTGATAAAATTTATTCAGTAGAGGAATGATATAATTAGATGTGGAGGAACTCACTTCGTCTCTCAAAGTTTACATTAGCCCCTCGAATTTGTAGAACTTCTTTAAATAATTCTAAAGCTCCCTTAAATTATAAAGCTCCCTCATAATCCCTAAATATCTTCTTTACTTGTGATATTCCCGATAATCCCTTGTCTCTGCAAATACTCCTTAATCATCAAATAAGTTAAATTTTTAAATTATTCGAAATTCATAAGAATACTTAATAATATTCACAAGAATTCTTCGTAAGTTATACTTTTAAATTTCGGCCAATTTTATCCATTTTACGATTTTATTTATCGAAATGGTCCAAAAATTATCCAAATTTTGAAATTTTCTCATCGAAAAATACAATGCCACACTCTATTTGAATGCCACCCTCTAATAGAATGCCATCTTCGAGGTGATTAAAAAATTATAATGCCATGGCATTTTAATAGAGGAAATACGGTAATTAATTATCATGAAATAAATATTAAAATTAATATTAAGCAAAGAAATCGACTTGAATTCCGGAAGCTTATATTAAAAAAGTGAATAAAAAATTTTGTACTGAAGGAAATAATTTTTTTAGAAAATAAATTTTTAAAAATTTTGGCAAAATTAGCCAAAAATTTATAATTTATATTTATTCAGATGTAAAATAAAAATTTTTAACTTGAAAAATTAAATTTAAGAGAATAAACCAAAATAGATAGATTTAAAAAATTTTTTCCGTTTGCGTCAATTACTGTTTACTTAATAAACCACGAGATGGTTTTATACGTAAGTGGAAAATCATTTAAAATCTCTTATACTTAAGCATATAAAAACTGCTAGAAATTCTAGATTCTTCACCAAATTTTAAAAGCAAATTTCAATACCCTCGGAATCTAAGAGGAATAAAATGCTTAATATATTTATTTTAATTATTTCCTTTATATCTATATTGTCTATAGAACTAAATAGAGAAGGGGCTAGATTTTGTAATTTTCCAAAGGCTTCACGTAATAATGTTACAAATACTGGTTTTTATGTTAAAGGCGGCGAGGATGTTGATTTTGGAATGCAAAGAATTCGATTGAATGGAAATCCAGGGACTTGCAACTCAAAAATTCCGAAACAATGGGGTTCTGTCATTACTGTTGCGGATGGTGGAACTGTGAGGAATGTGATACTTGGTGTTTCTTTGGATGGCACTGCTGCTGATATTAATTGTATGGGGAGTTGTACTCTCAAAAATGTTTGGTAGGTCTTAGATGATTAGAAGGAAGGACCATAAATAGTCTGGAGATCTACTTACATATGAGTCGACTGCATTTATCCATGCTATTGAGATCCGATCGAGTTCCAAAAATCTATCCATTATTAACCATTTCAGGTGGGAGAATGTTTGTTGGCGAGCTGCTAGCTTCCGTGCGACAGCAGAATATAATCGAAGACGTACAAACCAGGAAGGAGATTCAACACAATATACATATGTATCTAACTTTATAAAATTGCTAATGTCTTATATTTTTAGATTGTAGATGGAGGAGGCGCTCTAGACGGCTTTCAAAAAATTTTCGATCAAAGCGGGCCAGGAAAGACTATAATAAAGAACTTTTGCGCAGTAAATTGTGCAATAGGGATTGCGTCTTGTGGAAATTGTGGGAGGCAATATAAACGAGATATGACGATTGAGGACTCTAGATTCAAAGGGCCTACACTAACTATTATATGTAGGGACTTTAAAGGGTGTTACTCAGATAATTAATTTTTAAGCTGCTAACAAACAATATCAAGACAAAGTAACTCTTCGAAATATAACAGTCTATGGAAACAACAACCCTGCAACTGAAACTACATTTGTTTGTTCAGAGTACTTGGGGGAAAATGTTGGAGATCCTTGGAAATATAGTTATAAACCTGGACAGGCTGGAACTGGCAGTTCTTGTAATTACCCAGCTTCTGCAGTTAAAGTGATTAATTGATATTATGAATGATAGCGTGATAAAAGAAAGAAAATGATAATATAAATTTAAGAAAGATATGTTAATTGTAAATAGGTATATTTTGTCGAATGAAATGAATTATGCTTTTACTACTCTAAACTGGAAAACGAGAATTTCAAAAAAATCTTGACCAGATTCTTGACCTTGCGTCAAGAAAAAGCAAGGAACTCTGAAAAATGCCTTGATATGGACTCTTGATCCAGGAAAAATAAAGGTCTGAGTCCAGATCCAGCTCTCTCTCTCTATTATAAACCTCATTAACGTAACATTGAAGAATTAAAGAATATATATTAAGTTCCATATTTTCTCCCATTGAGTAACCGCCATTTATTTTTCAATAAATTTTCAAAGGGTCAGGGCCTCCAAATAGAGAGGTGTTATTCAATTAGAGGGGTATTTACGTAATTAAAAAGCCTTAAATAAATCTAAAACCTACATGTAGCCAGTCTAGTGCTTTGAGTATTTCTTCGTAAGAATTTGAGTGTAGTCGGATTGCCAAAAATTCATAAAGACGTTGAGGCTGAAAATTAGATACCTATTTTAATGTCCCTTGATGATGGAAGAATAGTCTTAATACACTTATGGGTTAGAGTTTGCTCTTGACTATAGATAAAGTAAAAACAAGGGTTATAGGTTACCGTATTTTCTCTAATTGAGCGGCCGTCGCTCTATTTTTTAATCCCTTCTCAAAGGGTCGCTTTATTGGAGACGACCGTTCAGCTGGAGAATGCCGCTCAATTAGAGACGATACTGTATTTCAAGCCAATTATTTTTAAACATGAAAGCTAGTTGTAAGATACCTTAAAAGACAGGGCACAAAGATCAGGTTCAAACAATTTGCTGATAGGCACCTTCAACTCTAGCAAATCCTCCTCACTAACCAAATCATTATTTAAAGAGTGTAACCAGTGTGGCATAACTCTAGACCACGTTGTTATGGATATAATGTCGTATGGGGCCAAAGCAAGTAGTTTACTCAATCCATCGCGCATAATCTCTTTACGAACAAAGCGCTCATCCCAGATAGTGTCTTCAATATTTCCATAAAGTGGTTCTAGTTGTTGTGGCAGAAGTTCATTAATAAAAACTTCGTAGTGGTTAGATAATGCTTGGTTGAGCCAGTCACACCCAAACTGGAAAAAACGGATTTTAGTTATTTTCAGAGGGTGCCTACATCCGCTTTAAGTTGTTCTAGCGTTTGCCCCATTGCATCATTGGGCAGCAATGCCGTAGTAGAAAACCATTGGAATAGAGCTCCAAGAAGATACCCAACAGAGCTCTGGAAAATTTGAAAATTAAAAAGATTTCTGAATTAAGACTGATTGGTGCTTAAAGATGCTAATGAGGGTTAATATGAATGTTAGGAGCATAGGGCTAAGTGAGGGAGCAACTCTTAGTTCTGAATTGGATAGGAGCATCGGGTTCGGTATCAATGCAAGTATGATGTCACGAAGAGTCAATATAATTTTTAGGAAAATTGGGATAATAGAAGGAGCGCTCGGAATTTGAGAGCTCCCTTAGAGCAGTAAGGATAAGAACCCCTCAGGATAACTCAGGATCTGATAGGAACATAGGGACTGTTTACGGTCTTTCTCAATTTCTCAGTGGAATTAAATGAGCTAATAGTTGTATCCCTTCATCAACCAATAAATCTTCACTAAAAAGTAATTAACCGGCGTTGCTTCAGCCACAGGGGGACAATGTGCTACCATTAACCAAATTCCGAATCTACTCAGCATTCTCCTTTCATCACTCAGTGGATCAATTTCACGCCCAAGTTCTCTCCCACCTTCCAATTGTCTTAGCCATTTTGGTCTTTTTGCAGATTCCCCATCCGCAGAAAGCTCGGTAAGCTTTGAAGAGGTCTCTCTTAACAGCTTTACAATCTTAAATTTTTTAATTTACATTCTTAAGTGATTCAAAAAGGTTTACAGCTTCAACCATCACTCTCTCATAGGGAGTGCCCCAGACAGAACCATGCCCACTATACCTGTTGTGCTCGTAAGCCCGTATGTTTTCTACTGGGTGAAGAGCATTGAAGCATTCCTTTGACAAATCAAAAAATTTTTTTTTAAGTTTGCCCTTTTAAAGTTTACTTCACATAATCTCAGAGGCACGTGCCCATTCGACCGAATACAATCTTCATCAAAGCAGGTACCCTTAGCTATTCGATTTGAAGAATTACAACCCTAAAATTGAATTTCCTGTTAAGACTTGTAATATCAAAATTGCCTTATTCTGGCATGTAGTACTTATCGTTACAGGGAGAGGTTGACTTAAATAATGCAAAGGTTCTGTAGTTGATGAAGTGACAGATTCCTGGCAATTATGACAAATGAACATTGGAGGGGCAGAGTCTCCCAAATTTGCGCAGATTGAAGGTTCGTAAGTGAGACAAGTACTGAATAAATAAGAGTTATGTTAACTTGAGTGTCATTCCTATAGAGAGAGAAGAATGAATGTAGGTAGCTTCCTCGACAGGGTGCTCAAAAATGTCAGGTTCAGGGAAACGCCGGGGTCGTCAGCTTCGGTTGGCCTTGACGGATATCTCGCGGATATGGTCTCATACTCGTATCCGTCCGTAGTCTCGGATATATCCTTCAGTAGCCTCGAACTGCTGTAATGCATGATTCACTTATCGTGTGGATATAGACTCATATTCCTATCCTTCCGGAGCCGCGGATATATGCTTATCCGTGTGCATTTCTGGTTAAACTATCATCAAACTAGTTAATAATTAAATTGCATGCCTTGGACCCTTCTCCACGCACTGTGTGTTCTGACATTGTGGAGAGGACCAAGCTTGTACTCGATATTGAACTGTCCGTCTGAGCATAATCCCTGGATATAACAACGGCCAATAGTGGAAAAGCAGGTTAACTGCTGCAATACGTGATTCACTCGTACCAGAAGCGATTACCGTTAACAAATCTGAGTATAAATCAGGCAGACGATAAGCCAGCCGTTCAATAATTAAGGTGTGTAATGCTGAAGAATTGGCAAATAAAAATTATTTTTAGGCTAGTTAAAATTCACAATTATCGACAGAATGGTGAAGGACGAGAATAAGCACTGCTGGGACTGAAACACGTCCATTTACTCCTTCCCCAAAAGAGTAGGGGAAAATACAGTCGCATAGTAAATGTACAAGTCGACGGTCAACTTCGGAAGGAAAAACGCCGAGTTGTGAAGCAAGTAAGAGAGGAAGTTGTTCTGAAAAAATGTTTTGGAGGTTCCTGGTTGTGAACCCTCGAAGCTGTGAACTTACTAGTTGCTTCACGCTACATCTAAACATTCTCCTAACCCTTCTTCTGATAGCTTTTTTACGTTAGATCTGAATGTACCCTTGACAATGATTTGAATATAGACTTGGCCCTAGTTAGGAATGATCCCTCATCCTAATGATGATTGTTCCCTTCACCCATCTATGAATGCTCCCTTGATCCATTCATGGATTGATACGACGTTGGAATACTCACTTATTCTTACATAGCACCTTACTTTTAGAAGCTAAATCCTCACTTCACCCTACACTTGGATAATAATCCTATATTAAAATGACTTATATTCTCAAAAATTTACCAATACATTCTCTATCCAAAAAAAAGTAGAGTGCTTTAAGTGTATCAAGTATTGCCTCAGCGATAGCTTAAAAATTATTCGAAATTTATAAGTTTACATAAAAATCCCTACCAGTCTGTGCACTACTAATCATAGGGAAAGCATCGAGTAAATTAACAATACCATAAAATAGGCCAGAATAATTAAGATTTGGGTATAATCCGCTCCGAACAATGGCATTTTCACTTGAATATTTTTCAAAGAGTGAGCTCCGTTCGGAAGGTATGTCTTTTAGAAAACTGAAAAAAACTTTGGAAATATCTTAAAAATATTTTTAAAAACCTGACTAAGGTTTGTTGGAAATATCTCAAGGTAGTTACCATTTCCGCACTACTAGGGACTTGTTGCTGATTAAGGATACGGCTGTGGAAATCGCTGAGGGTTCGAATTTTGGCAGAAACTTAAATTAAAAATGGTTAAATGAAACTTAATTTTATTCAAGTTTTAACTTAATTTTTTAAGTTTATTATTTATTTCAAGTTTTAATTCTAATCTTAATAAACAATCAAGTTTTCAAGTGTAAACTTAATTTTTTAAGTCTATTATTTTTTTCAAGTTTTAAGTTTATTTTAAGTATATACTCAAGTTTTCAAGTTTATAAATTTTTAAGTCCAAGCTAGATTTTAATTATTACTTAGGATCAATCTTAAGAATACAAGTTTCCTTTATTCCGAGTTTATTTTTGTTTAAGATCGAACAAAGTTTCAAGACTTAGTCTCAAGTTTTTAAGCTAATAAACTGCTTTTCCCTTTACCATTTTCAAGTGTTTATTAAGCTAATTATTTTGATTTTTAATTGTTTTAAAGACTAACAGGTATAATATTTAAGAAGATAAGCCATTGGCATTTGTGCCTGTTTTTGGTTAAATTTAATGGAAGAAAATAAAGGAATAAACTGCACAACTTTTTAAATTTTTCTATTTTTTAGTTAAAAAAATAAGAAATCTCTCCACGTTAAAAAATAAATGAGTCACTAAGCTCTTTTTACTTTAAAAATTATGAAAATTATAGCCTTGGGGATTTCCGCTTAAATAAGCAGAGTCAAAATAGATGTGTTTATATGACATAAAATGGATAGATAAATAAACTTGCTGCTCATCTATTTTTCGTTTATATGTATGAGAAAATGCTTAATATTATTAAGAGAAACACAGATAAACTCAAAAGTATAATTTATAGTTGAGTGTGAAAAAAATATTAATTGAAAAAATGTTGAAAAACTTAACTAATTAAAAAAAACTTAACTAAAAACTTAAGTTTATATGCTTAAAAATACAAGTTTATACACTTAAATGAAGTTCAATTTTAAGTTTGAACTTAAGTTTTTTTTATTCAAGATTAATCTTACGTTCTAAAGTTTATTAATAAGTTTAAACTTAAGTTTATTCTTGAAGGTTTATTTTTAAGTTCAAACATAAGTTTTTTTTATTCAAGATTAATCTTGTATTTTAATTCATGATTAAACTATAATTCACGGTTAAACTATCTAAAAAGTGTAAAACAATAGTCAATGCCCGGTACCTCAGTGGTAGAGCATTTATTTGTGGTGAATGAACGCGACTAGCAATAACTACGAGGAGGTAGCAGGTCCAATCCTGCCCGGTGACTAAACTTTTGCTAACTCTTTCTATGATTAAATTAGTAAATTATGTAAACTAGACATTTCAAAAAATTAAAAAAGCAAGGGATCGCTCTTGTTATACCTCAATAAAATTAAAAAAAAATAAATTTAGCTTTGCTTGATGCCTTCATAAAAATAGTTTTTGAAAAAATAAAAATATTCCATAGCTCGTCATGCATTTTTTGAATGAATATTTAGGAAGTGCATTCGCCGTCATTTTAAAGTTTGCAGATGTGCCCCCTTTTTTATTTTTTACTTTTCTCGCATATTTAAGCAAAAAGGCGCAAACGGCAGCTAACGATTTGCAAGGCTCTCACACTCGTAAAAAATTCTTTCAATTCAACAAATGGAAATAATGGAATAATTTAAAAAATAAGAAAGCAAATAAGAAAAATTTTGGGCTAGAAAAATATGTATATAATTTACTTAAAATTTTTAAGCAAGCTTATTTTCAAGTTTAGTTTAGAGTAAGACTTATTTTCAAGTTTAAGCTCAAGTTTATTTTTTAAAGTTTGATCTTAATTAAGTTTATTTTCTCATTATTTCAATTAAGTTTATAAACTTCAAGTTTATTATTCATTATGTATAGGCTTAAGTTTATTTTTTAGATTTTCAAGTATAAACTTAAGTTTATTTCACTATTAGTTATTTCAAGTTTATATTAATATTAAAATTCAAGTTTATTTATTTTCAAGTTTAAACTTTTTTTTTTAATTTTCTAGTTTGATCTTAATCAAGTTTATTATTTAATAAAGTGTTTTTAATTTTTCAAGTTTGTTCATAATTTTATTTATAATTTTGTGTTAGGCTGTAATTAGTAAGTATAAAGCGACTAGATAAAGATTGAAATGACTTAAATTATTAAATAAATTGTGAAGCTTAAATTTATTTTCTTTATTTTTTAAGGATGGCATATCAATTTTCAAAAAAATACACAAAATAAAAATATAGGGCCCAGACCTAAAAATGCCAAAAAGGCTTACTTCTTAAATAACCAGCAAACAATAGCCCAAATTTTGGCTTTTGTTATTTTTTAAATTTATGTATTTAGTTAAAAGATAGAAAATACTCAAAAATAGAATCTAAAGGCAAAAATTGTTGAAAAGTTTTCTGAGGAAATTTATTTTTTATTAATTAATTTATTTTTAAATTCGGAAAAAAATAAATTAGGAAGCTTACAAGTTGCTGCGCGTGTAGTAGCCATTACTGCTGCAGAATGTCCGCTTCCTAAAATTAAATAAATTTTAAGAATTAATTAAAATTTAAAATTAATTTTAGGATAATTTAAATCAATTTTTCTCATTCAAAAATAAACTTGGGCAGTACACACCTGTCTTTTTGGCAGATTTTGCACCCGGAGGCTTCCAGCTGGGAGGCGGATACATATTTTAATATTTTTAATATTCTTTAAATAATTTTATGGAGTTTATGGAGGAAGGTGAAATTTATTTGAGAAGTCTTAGCAGAGATTTAATAAAAAATATTTTTAAGATTATTAGTATTGGATTTATTAGGCAAGGGGGGGGGGGGGGAAGCAGTGGCAACCCAATAATAGTTCACTAGTTCATAAGTTTGCTTTATCAACTAGACTATGAACAGTTCTGGGTATTGGGCGTTCTGTGGCTCCTGCAGGAGCCACAAAGGTAGGAGGCAGGTGCTGGTGGCATTTGGTGGCATTCCTTCTAAGGCAGGAGCTGTAACACCACAAAAATAGTTGACAAGTTTGCTTATCAACTAGTCTCGGAACATGTCTGGATATTAGGCGTTTTGTGGCTCCTGTAGGAGCCGGTTCCAGAAACGAGGGTCCAAGAAATGAAGGACGAGGAAGCCTCCAAAAATCAGGGAAAAGGGAAGCTCCAGAGCTCGCTCCTGCAGCCATACCAAGCACTATCCAGTAAGTAAACTTAGCCGGCCTTTCAATGAATAAATAAGACTGAGTCGGGAATTTAAACAAAAAAAAGTAAAAAAAGACAAGCATTATTTCTTCATTTACAATGATGATGAGCTCTTGTCGGCTGCTTAAATGAGAGGGGAAAAGCATTAGCAAGGATATGAAGAAGAGGAAGATGAGGGAGGAGGGAAGTGAGAGAGGAAGGAGGATAAGGGGGACACGCACATTTCCCTAAAAAATAACCAAATAATCTTGTTTTGGCCTAAGACGATATAAATAAAATGTAAAAGAGGGCATTCCCCTCCTTTCAATTTTTCAACGGCATTCTCTCAATATAACAAGTCCTTCAACGGCCAAATTAAAAATGGGAGGGTGTGGACCATGGGGAAAGAAATAAGGCGAAGATGACAAAATAGTATATATTTATATCAAGTTGAAGATGTCAAAAAATTTATTCCAAGAAAGAACAAAAGTAGGATAAGGCTAAGAGTGTAAAAAAGGGGTAAAAATGACATGTGTTGGGTATTAAATTATTTTATTTGAGTGCCCGTTTTTGTTAATTTTTTATTCAAATATCTTTTGTCTTACACGAAATTTAAGTTAATTTTAGGAAGAGTAGGATTATGAAGAGTAGGAGGGGGGGGGGTGTTGGATAAGAGTATTTATGAGTTAGGGTTCGAGGGGGAGAGGTTGTAGGCAGGGATGTGACTATCATTTAGGGAAGGCTACATAGGAATTAGAGTTTCACCGGAAGTTTCGGTTCCGGAAAGTTCCTATGTTTTTTTGGTCCGGTTCCAGGAACCGGAACTCAAAAGGATTCGGTTCAGGTTCCGATCAAAATTTCGGTACCGGTGAAAATCTAATAGGAATCCGTGCCACACCAAATCTCCAAACAATTATAAATATTCAATTCCTTCATCTATTTTTTTCACAAGAAAATTTTTTTTATATGAAAGTCTTTAAATAACAATAATTTTCCTAGTTAACTAACACTTTATTTTCCCAATTTTATCCCTTAAAAGAGGACTTTTTTAAAAGGAAATTTAATAGGTACAAGAAAGGAAATTTAAAAGCTTTTCAATTTTAAAGTGTACAAGCGAGCAAAAATTTTTTAGTAAAAAAAGCAAAAATTATTTTTTATAAAAATTTTAATGCTTTTGATTTTAATAATTTTTTTTTTGGATAAATGCTACTAAATTAATATAATTTTAATAAATAAAATTTTTTAAATTTTCTGTTGAAGTATTTAATATTTTTTGGATGAATTGACCCATATTCAAAATTTATTGAAAAAATTTTTTGACTTAATAAAAATTGCTATACCTGATCTAGTTAAATTAACAAGCAGCTTTAATTAGAAAAGTTCAATTAAATCTCTCCTTATGGGTATACTGCAGGGCTCTCATTCGTGCTTTATTTGAAAGTATTATACTTTGAAACCGACCTCCATACTTAAGAAATTGAATTTATACTTTATTGAAAGTATATACTTTAAAATCAACATTTTGGATTGAAAATGAAATTGGGGAAGGGATTGGGCAAAAAAGTGAATTTTTTTAGCCTTGGGCCTTCGAAATTATCAAAATTTTCGCCTGCGGCGCTGAAAAAGAAAGAAATCTGGCTTCTTGGGCTCCAAATTTCAAAAAATTTTCGCCTGCGGCGCTGAAAATGGGAGAAATCTGACTACTTGGGCTCCAAATTTCAAAAAATTTTCGCCTGCGGCGCTGAAAATGGACGAAAGCTTGAGGTTAAGACTGTCAGGGCTTTATTTCTTGTATCAGCGAATTTTGACATGTCATGCGTTGAAATGCACAAAATGCCCAATGGAAGCAAGAAATTATTAGAAAAGATTCATTTAAGAGAGAAATATAAAAGATTTGAGCACGAACAAATATTTTCCAATTTAATTTTGAGTATACTTTAAATTTGGAAATTTTCTCCCTATATACTTTTTTATCAAGATTTTGATACTTTTGAGTGGCATTTTGTCGATGAGAGCCCTGGTATACTGTATGAGAGAAGAGAGGCAAAGTTGCTCAATGAGTTATTCTTGTTGAGCGATGTTAAAAATTATTTTTTTTAATTATTGAAGGGGTAAAGAATTTTATAAGTTGGATTAATAATGTTTAATTTAAAAAAGTTTTTAGAGTGGAAGATAAAAAATAAAAATGAGAGGGAAAAGTTGATAAAATAATTCTCAAAATGTTGCATAAGGACAAAAATATTTTAAAAATTTTTGATTATTAGTGATTAAACAGGGAATAATAGTGATAAAATTTATATAAATTTCCTTACTTTTTCTGGCCTAGTTAAATTCTGAAATATCCTGAAAACAAAGTGCAATGCTGTGGAAGACTTGATTAGATGGGAGATGGGATAGAACCATCAAGGAATGGGCCAAGACGAAGCAAAACCGATTTTGCCACCCCTGCCTATAATGATTTTTTCTGCAAGTACGTGGACAACGGATACTTGAAAGCTTACAAAAAAATTTTTTAAAGTCAACCCCAATCTCTTAATAAATTTGGAATAAAACTTTTAAATCTTATCGGCAACAAAAAAATAATTTTATAAAAATAATAAAGACACTTTAAAAATAAAAATAAATGAGAAAAAGTCAATAAACAGAACCTTAGGCTAAAGAAAATACAAGAAAGCAATGAAAAGCATAAAAAAGTAAAAAACAAATGTGTGTATATCTCCATTGTTTTGTGTTAGTTTTTGTGCAATTGACGGCATCCTTTTCCTTTTTTATTTTCTTGGCAAAAAAATAAAAATAAATAATTCTGGTAAGTAGAAGCACAGTTTGAAAAGGGACTGAAAAAATAAAAAATAAATAAATTTTTAAGTTAGAATTAGGGTTGAGCACGACAGGTTATTAACCGGTATCCTCGGTTTCCGATCTTGGCCGGTTTACGACCACCGGTTTTCGGTTCATGATTGACCCACGGTTTCGGTTTTGGTTCGGTTAAACGTCTGTGTCTAACCCTTGTTAGAATTGAATTTAAAACTTTAATTTAAAGACAAGAAGGTTGATTAATTTTTAAGCTTAAGTCGGCATGAATTGAATGGCTGTCTCAACCCCTGAAAAATTTAGAAAATTGTACTGGTCAAAGGTGAGAAGTCTGAAATTGAAAATTTAATAAAATTTCTGTAAAAAATTTAAAAAAAAAGACAAAATTCTAGGCACAAATTAAAACCATCAAGTACTTCCGTTTATCATTTTCTTCCTTAAATTCCATAGTTTAATTTAAGAAAACTTATTAATTAAAATCAGAACCGATACCGAACAGTTCTACAAATTTTCCGAGCAAATCTGAAATTGCATATAGTAAGGAAAAGAAAGATCCAACTGGCTAGCATTTAAAACGCTCACTAGAAGGGGATTTAAGATCTATTAAAAGAGAAGGTGAAAGCAGCGTCCCGGTAGCTCAGTTGGTGGAGCAGATGTACGTGGTGAGCGAAAGCGCCTAGCAATAACTGCCAGGAGGTCGCAGGATCGAAGCCTGCCGGGGATTAAACTTTTGCCTCGCTCTTACTATAGTATGTATAGACCAATTCCATTAAAAAAAAATAAATTTTAAATGACTTCATATTTAATTAAATTTATTTAAATTTAATTAAAATTTGACCTGTTATTTGCTTATACTTTAAATAAAATTAGGAAAAATTAATTTAAGGGTAAACAAAGTTTCTAGGTTTGAATGACGTTTACTTATTAATAAGTTTTCTTAGTTTGAGACAAACTTTGAACTAAACTTAATTATTTAATTAAACTTGTTAATGAAAAATTTTCATTTAATGCTTGAGAATGAGTCAGGGTTTAACTCAAAAATTTAATTAAATAGTACATATTTGTTTTTAATTTTAATATTATTTTTTCAAATAATTCGCAATAAATTAAGAAAATTAAATTAATAAATGACTCAAAATTTAATAAAAACAATTTAGTACAGAATTTCTATTAGTTTTATTAGAATTTTAATTGTGTAAAGCATATAGCTATTAATTTCCTAAGGCTATGCAGTAGGCGGTGGTGTAATGGCTAACACATCAGTCCGGTCTACTGAAGATGCTGGTTCGCTCCCAGCCGCCGATTAACCTTTTGCACTAGCTAAAGGAGAGAAATAGCTATAGCCCAGCTGCTTTACTATTGGAATATATGTTTAATTGGAACTAGTTTAATTGGAACTAAACGATAGGGCGTTTGTTTCTGATATCAAGACGCGAGTTTCTGATTTTTAGAACGGATTAATTTAATTATAAAATTTTGTGACAATGACTCTTGAAAGTTTTCAACCTTCTCATAAATCACTAGAATTTTAGAAAATTTAAGAAATTTTTAAATTTAACATTTTTATTACTGGCAATATCAAATACTTAAACAAAAATATTGTAAGATCATTAGTCGTTGAAGAAATGAGATTTCTCTAAATATTATAATCCATCAAAATAGAATAAAAATTAATTTAGTTATATCAGAATCTTTGTCTTATCCCATACCTAAAGACTTTGTTTATGAAATCATCCTTAATAAAGTTTTGTCGGTTCTGAAATGAATCGAAACTTAAAATTGAGGATATTCCGGTTTATTTGGTTCTGTTCCAGATATCCGAAGAAAGCTAGACCTTAATGTTAAAATCAAAAACATTAAGGTAGAGAGCGAGAGAGCAAGCTGGATCTGAGAGAACGAGCTGGATCTGGATCCAGACCCTGATTTTTCCTCGATCCAGAGTCCAGATCAAGGCAATTTTCAGAGTTCCCTGATTTTTCCTTGACTCAAAGTCAAGAATCTGGTCAAGGTACCCAATTGAAATCAAGGTCAAAAATCAAGGTCATGGTTTTTTGAAAATCTCGCTCTCTACAAAAACTTATTAAAGGATAGAAGTCTGCTCCTTGAAAGAAGCCTGCCCCTAATTTAGATACTAAAGAGGAGGATAGGACAGATTCTAATATAAAATTACAAACTAATACGGGGTGGGAAAATTTCAAAAATAAAATTTCCAACATTTTAAAAAATTCCTTTCATCTTCTCTTTGAATCTATTGACCCAGATTCATTGCTTCCATCCCTGTTCTCATTATTATACTCAATCTCCACTAGATTAAGCCCTTGATCAGAACAAATTTTTTCATCATTATCTTCCATGTCTTCGGGTTGCTCTGGTTCCAACTTGAATTCAACCCATTCTAATGAGAGCTGATTTGTATTGAAGATCAAATAAGATTTTTCACAGGGAATGTGGTAGGGTCCAAATCTTTGCTTTTCTGCTTAAATAAATAAATTAATTATTATTTTTAGATAGAGTTTCCTATTTTTAGAGCATGTTACTTAATATTAAAAAAGGATTCAAGGGTTTTTAAAGCTCCTAAAGCTTCATATTTTTAAATAATTTTGAAACAATCACTCGTGTTCTGAAACATGCTTCAGGTACTATGAAGCATGCTTCATAAATTCTGAAGCATGTTTCAAAGCACTGAGGCATGCTTCAAATTTTCTGAAGCAATTTTAGGGCTTTAAGTAGCAAATTTAGATTTTTTAATACATGTTTCAATTTTTTATAAATGTTTTTAAATTCTAGAAGCATGCTTAATTTGAAATAATTATCAAATAAAAATTCACCAGAGCGTATATGGTTGATGGATAACGGCATAATAATTTTTGATGAACCTGCCATTACTGTTACATAACTCTATAAATTTTATAAATTAATTCATTTATTCTCAAAAATAAAATTTTTACATTATCATCATGAGTTTTAATATCAATAATAGTCAAAATCATATGCGTTGGAAGACGCACAACGCAGGAGCGGTCACGAACTTCAGCAGTATTGTTTAGTCTGTAGATTAAGTTTGAGTTAATAAATGAAGCATCAAGTTCGGTATAGCATTCCACAACACTCACAACTCCGTTTTCGTTGAGTAGTTGGATAGGTTGCGCTTCAGGCCACTCGAGATCCTGAATATTGGAAGTGTGTTTCAAGTTTAGTAAAAAATTTAATTTTATTGAAGATACATATTAAAAACGTGTTTAAAATATATATTGAAGCATGCTTCGACATTTTTAAAAAGGTTTAAAAATTTTAGACAACATGTTTCATTTAAGTTGAAGCATGCTTCAGAACCTCTAGAAACAAATTTCATCAGCTTTGAAGCATGCTTCAAGTCTTATTAAATATATTTTAATTTTTCGAAGGATGCTTCAATTTAAGGATGCAAAAGTATAAAAAACCCACGGATAAATCAACAGCTGGGTAGTTGTTATACCTACTTCGCGGAATTGGAGCTGCAGAATTAACAATGAATTGACACAAGAAAAATAATCCAATAATTGTTGCTTTCATAGTAATTAAATTGTTAAAAGTATTTTTATTTGTTGATGATTTTTTTGAATTAAGAGTTAAAAAATTTTCAGGCTGATATCGTTGCATTTTAATTAATCTAATTGCTGTTAATTTAGCAATAAGTTTTTATAATTTTGATTTGAAGTTTGTTTACTTAAAAATTATTTAAAATTTAATATAAAATTGAAGCAAAAATTAATAAAATAAATTTTTTGAAGCAAAGTTTAATGATAAAGGAAGCTTGGTTATGAATAAATAAATGATACTTTAAAAATATGTAAGGTGTTATTAAATATGAAGCATGCTTTTGGAATATAAGAAGTATGTTTCGGAAATATGAAGCATGCTTCGTGGATATAAGAAGCATGCTTCAGAAATATCAAGCATGTTTCAGGAATATATGAAGCAGCAATATGAAACATAAATACATGAAGCATGCTCAGAATTCATGAGGAATGCTTCTTAGTTCCATAGAAGCATGCTTTACATTTGTTTAACATGTTTCTAAGATACAAAACAAATTCCAAAATAGATTAAGAAGTTTCCTAATAACGAAACATTCACGAATAAACTTGAAGCAGGTTAGGTAAAAAATAGAAGCATTTTAGATAAAGTTTAAAAAAATATGAAGCATGCTTCACTTATAAATTAATATTTTAATTTATACATTAAAAATAGACTAATAATTATAATCTATTAAAAAAGACATTTTTGAAGTTATAAATTATTAAATAAATTAAATAAAAAAAATTTTGAGAAGCAACGGAAGCGGAAATTAATCCATTACGTCTAGTTACCATATCCGCAGGATTACTAATATTATAATGGTCTGAATTAGTAATATGTTAAATTTTGTATTTAAAAATTATATATTAATATAAAATGACTATACGTACAAATTTAGAAAATAATCCAAAAAAAAATTTTTAATATTAAAAGAGTGGGAGACTTGAAGCATCATTAAATCCATTGATGAATTAAAAAACTAAAGCATAAAAAAATAAAATATAAAAAATCAGCGGGGGCGGTAAAGAATTTTGTTTTTAAAATAATTTTTATTTTTTGGAAGTAAGATGAGTAATAAATAGAGGATTAGTTAAAATGTTGCTTCTGCTTCAAGGTTTATTGAAATATAAATAAACTTGTTTCGGAATTAAATAAGCTCAAGTTTAGATGTTTAGTTAATGCTTAAAACTTGAATAGAAATTCTGAAAAAAATTCTGAAACTTAAAAATTATTCTGAAACTTAATTCTGAAAAATTAAAATAATTCTGGTCATAAAAATTCTGAAAAAAAATTCTGAAATATTTAAACATTGTTCAGATTAAATTCTGAAACTCAAAAACTTGTTTTGAAAAAATTCTGAAATTTTAAAAAATTCTGATTGCAAATATTAATTCTGGAAACTTAAGTTTCTGAAAATGTTTTTAAGTTTTAAAAATTCTGAAATGTTTTAAACTATGTTCGTAAATAATTCTGAAACTTGAAACTTATTTATGTGAACTTGAAACATTTTAGTTTCATTCTGAAAAGAGTAAACATGTTTTTAAATTTATAGCTTGAATAATAATTCTGAAAAAAAAAAATTCTGAAACTTTTTTTTAAAAATTCTGAAACTTTATTTGAGAAGTCTGAAACTTTTTTTTTAATTCTGAAACATTTTTTAAAAATTCTGAAATTTTTTTTTAATTCTGAAACAGAAAATAAATGTCTTACAAATGTATTTTACAAGCTTAAGTATGCATATTGCTTTAAAGCAGATTAAAAAACAATTAATTAAATGTTAAAAGGAAGCAAAAAATTAATTTTTATTTATTTTGAAAAAGTTTTAGGACGTAAACAAGAAAAAAATATTTTGTATATTTACAAACACAAACCAAACAAGATTTTTAAAAATATTAAATGACAGCTAGGAGTGAAGGATTAAAGCATTATTAAAAATAATCGTGGATTAGAAATTTGAATATATCTTATGGAAAGGGTTGTTTATTTAATTAATATTTTGAATACGTCAAAATATATTTTTTGGATTTAATATTCATATTTTTCTAATATTTTAATAGACACATAACAAACAAAAATTATTGGCAAACAAAATATTTATCAGAGATTTGTTAGATTAAGGATAATCTTGATATGATAAATCAAAAATATTTGAAGTAAACTATATACATAAGCTATAAATTATGACAAAAAATTCGTAATAATCCCGGAAAATTTTTCAGGATTTGAATAATTCTATTGAATTTAAAGTCAACTTAGTTCAAAATTTAAATTAAATTAGGGAATTTTGAAGTAAATGTCTAAATAATTTATTTATCTTAGCGTATCTGACCTATTCTTATTGAATTTTAAAGCCAAAAAATCCTGGGATTTAACAATTAAGGGCAACGATTATAAATTATTAGGAATAATAATCTTTTAAATTATCAGGAATTAGCTGATATTTAAATTTTATTCTATGATGCTAAAATTCCATGCTATAAGCACTATATGTATTTCCAACTCTTCTAAAAAGATACCTGATTTTCTTTCGCTTTTTTCTTTTCAGTCATATCTTGGGATAAACACTTGAAACTTAAATACTTTAAAGTCATGGGCGGTTTCTCAACCTTTATCTTCCTTATAGAATAATAAGGAGTCAAACTAATGGCTAATAGCTTAACTAGGGTCCTCGGCTCTTAGTAGCCGACATCAGTTAAAAAACATTTTAAATAAGGAGGGTCTCCCTTCTCTCGAACACATAATGAGTAAGTGCACTGCCCAATAGCCTATATTTACTCATTAAATTTAAAAGATTAGCATATACACGCGCACAGCTTTAAAGCGAGAATGGCTTTTTAAAAATGGCAGAATTACTCAACTGCTGAGACTTTTTATCCTCCTTGTTTTTTTCAGAATTAACACTAAAAAAAGTTTAGTCACCGCCTCTAAAATGGGTGGAGTCAAAAAAATTTTTATTTTTTACGTCAAACTAACAGCTAATGGTTGTGTAGGTGGAACGGGAGTCAAAGAAAAAAATTTAGAAAAAAAATAAAGCTTAGAAAAATGTGAGCAATAAAGCTTAGGCTTCCCCCACCTTTAAAGCCACAAGTTAATGGATGCTTTTTAAGCCGAAAAATTTTTTATGAAGGAATTTGGCTGATAATAAGGTATTAATTTAAGGTGTTGGTAAGTTTGCAAAAAATCCTAGAAGAAAAAAAAATGAAGAAAAAATACAAAAAAATTAAAAATTAAGTTTAGAATGTCACTGTTGAGATAAGTAATAATAAAGAGTATACTGTAGAATTTTAGAAAAAAATTTAAAAATGAATGAAATAATTTTAAATGATTTTATTAATATATTATTAATTAATTAAAAGATTTCCATCTTATTTTTCAATAAAAATTTAAAAAAATGGAATGTATGTATGTTGTTGGATCTAGAGTTATCGAATCTGGATATCCGTACACGAACAATCCGAAGTCTTTGCAGTACCTTCCCTGGATGAAAAATTCTTTAAGGATTGAAGATCTGGAACTTATCGGTTAGAAAGATTTTCGTTTCATTTTTCGATAAAAATTAAATAAAAAATTGCAGTGTTGTCGGAGTTAGAGTTATCGAATCTGGATATCCTTACCCGAACAGAAGATTTCCCAGGACCTTTACTTATCAAAAATTCTTGTAGATCTTTACAGGATCTTTCCAAGACCGAAGATATACCAGGATCCGCCAATCCTAGTCTGTTATCAGGGAATTAGTATAGGGTTTAATGTTAAGGTTACAGCGAAAATGTTTAAAGAAAAATTTCTGTCTTTAACCCCATCCTTTGTTTGAAAATTGAAAATTTAAAAACTGAAAATATGTCTTTCAAGTAACCTAATTTTAGGATACAATGAGATCCACCCCGTCCAAAATCCCATCCCCATTATTTCCCCCTCCAGCGAGATGGTATAAACAATGTCTTGACTCTCGTATTAAAATCTGTACTCGCACTCGTACCTTGCAGTTGGCACGAATACGTGTACGATATAATCTGAAAGTTTGAAACAGAGGTTTCCGATTTCCAAAAAAGATTTTGATTTCCGTTTTCAAGTTCCAACTTTTGAGCCAGTTCCGATTTCAGGCTCTTTCGATTTCCGACGCCTCTGACTGTTCCGACCCACCTCTGGTTCGAAGCACTGATTATAACACTATTTACCCAGTAAAATTGCTTTAATATTTAATTAATTATTAATTTCAAAATTAAAAAATAAGCAAATTCATTCCTAAAAATTGTTCCTACGAAGTGTTCCTAAAAATTTTATAAATTATTTTAACTACCGTACCTTTTTGATTTTTATTTTTTCCAGACTAGGACATGGATACGGATATTGTAAAAATGTCTCCGGATATCCGTCTGTATCCGCCTGTACCGCCGTAAATACCCGGATACGGATACCAAAATCAGTATCCGTGTCCTAGTCTGTTTTTTTTCTTATTTTATCCCCAAATTCTTTTCCAAATTTTTTCTTATTTTTTCCGTATTACTCATGGTATATTTTAATAAGAAAATAATTTTTTAAAAATTAATTTCCACCTTTACTAAAATTTTCTAAAATTAAAATAAATGTGCGTAACGACCCTAGCCTATAATTAAATAAATTTTTATATTTTTATTTTTGGTTATTTCCACGGAAACTTTTTTTTGAGAAAATTAAATTAATTGTTAGTTAAAAAAATTTACAGGAAATTACTAATAAAATTTTTATTTTTAATAAAATTAGCGGTTATGAAAATTCTAATTTGAGTATGTAGTTGCACTTTATGAGTAATAAATATCATATGATTTAGGAGTGACATAGGAGAGAGAAATGTATTTTTGAGGTAATAAGCTAATGAAAGTACACATAATTATTAACTAAATATTTTTAAGAAGGGTTGTTCACTAATTGTTATTAACGATTAGGGTTGGGGGCGCGATCTAATCCTTCCAGTCCGGTCCGAAAGATCGAGTCGGGCATCGAATTTTAGACTGAAAAAGACGGTTGGGCCGGCCCTATAAAAATGAAGCCCGAAATAAATGACTCGAACATCGGCCCGACTCGAAAACTCCAACACTATTAAC